TCTTCAAGAAGCATTTTGCTTGCTGCATTTGGTGCGGTAAAACTTGCCACAAGTCTTCAGAGTGCAACAAGAAGCCTCCGGAGAAATTGAAAACGGCGGTGGAAAATCGCAATAAAACAGCAGTTAAGTGTCTTCAGACAGAAGTGAATGTGTTGATGAAAGCTGGAGAGGAGAGTGAACCGTCTTCAATGCTGTACCATCTGGTCGAGGAAGAGCACGAAAAGTCTAGGAATAAATCTTCAAGGAAAATAGAAGTTCTTAAGCGTCAGCCAGCGAAATTGAAAGAAAGCTGCTACAGTAAACAGAGAGGCATTGATATTTCTTCAGGGCATAAATCAGAAGATCTGCCATTTCATCTGACGAAGGAACAAATTTTAAAACTACAAGAGGAAGATCCATGCATTTCGTTAATAAAGGAACTTTATGAAAATAATTTTACATTCAAAGAAATTTTAATTAGGTTGAAAGCGCAGCGGAAGGGATACAGATTTACAAAAATGGTGAAATCTGCCCAGGTGAAGGATGGAGTGCTCCATGCCGGTAAGCATGGCGTTCCAGTGATCCCTGCAAGATACTTACCGCAGCTGATCACCGACTTTCACAAAGCTTCGGGACATATCGGTCGGTATAAAACAATAGGTGCAATATCACGTCACTTCTATAATCCTAGACTCTCGTTAATCGTAGCATTTGTCATCAAACAATGTCCAGTTTGTCATAGGTCCAGGGAACGAGTGAGAGGTGGGGCGCCTCTCAACAGACGGGTCCCGAGAGCTCCCTGTGAAGACTACGCCGTCAATTCATTGGAGCTTCCTCGTGACCGAGGTAAAGGCTCGTGCAACAGTATGGGAGATCCCAATGGCATAACTGACGAGATTACGAGACCCAACGGAAGAGGCGAACAGACTGTGAGCTACAACCAACTGAATGAGTGGCAAGGCGATTGTGACGAATTTGCCGATATTGACCTTGCGTTCCAAGGCGACGTAGCAGGAAGCCACAACGAGCGAACTAGCAGGGCAAGATCATCGAGCGCTAGACTGAGAGAGCAGCGGAACACGGCGGAGATAATCCCTCCATATGAAATGTATGGGAGTGGAACGACGATCGGCGGAGTGACAATCTCTTTATCGGGATTGGCCGACAAAATAGCGGCAGCGCTTGCTAAGAGTCAGGCGGAATTGGCAACTCAGGCTGAAGACTTCGAGGTTGCTGGGCAGCCCGCTGGTGATGAGAGCATCGACCAGCCGAGCATGGAGTGGGAAGACCTGAGTGAGCAGACAGTCGTGCAGACTGCAACTGAGTCGTTTGTGAAAGCGCTGGTACTGAATAGCAGCAGGGCAAGCGACGAATTCTTGGGAGCCGAAACTTCATTCAAGTGCGAGCCAAGACGAGGGTATCCTACGGGAGCTACGCAAGACTTCGTGTTGCCAGACGAATTCCATGTACTGGCCAGAAGCTCAGTTTCTGAGGGCCCTGATCTCTCCGATCACCTAGAGCGGGAAATGAATTCTCTGTCTGATCGATGGAACACCGAAGATGAAGAATTGTAGGATTCAATTTTTAGTAATTACGGTACTATGTTAGCGTATTCCAATACTAGTGCAATACTTATGAATACTACCAGATTAAAGGAGATTAAAGCATAATGAACAAATCCTATGTTTTAGATATAAGTAGTTAATTAAGTACGATTTTAGCAAGTTCAAATTTAATAAAGTTCTATTTTAGCATACCTAGTTAATGATTGTGAAATGTTGCGAGCCTTTTAATTGTATATTGTACCCTGTAATTGTAGCCAGATTGGATAGCGACCAAATATTTTGTTTTATCTGGTGTAGGGGAATGTGAACGATGAATATCGATCGTTCACTAATATTCATTATTCTATGCGATCATTTGTTCTCATATGCCTTTTTGTTCATTCTGGCGAAATTATTTTTATTACGTCTGGCGAAGCTGTGCTTGTAACATTTAAGTCAGACCTGTAGCAGTGGGAACCACGTAGGACGAGGTCAGGTCTGAGCGGCTGTGGGTGGAGGTAGTCAGTCGTGTCCCGCCAGCCCTAACGAAATCTATGCTCTGGAGCTCAGATTTCGATGGAACTGCGCAGTTTTCCCGCCGGCTCCAAAACTGCGCAGTTTTCCCGTCCACACGCAACGTTTTATCTGCAACGATTAGAACTGCGCAGACAAATCGTTGTGTAAAACTGAGCGTGTGGACCGGGCTTTAGCCTTCTGCTGCCACGCGTTTATTTCCTGCTTATAAAGTCGCTCCAGTTCCACTTTGTGGGACACTCGCACCATGGGTCGAACCAATGAAAAATTGCAAAGTTTTTTTTCCTTTTTAAACTAAACTGAAGAAGCTTATAATCGAGTCGCCGGACGCCAAAGTTGGTCCTCATTTATATACGTAATCCAAGTACTACGAGATGGGTTCGGACTTGAAATGAAGCAGTGCATTTAACTTTCAATGCTTGTGATATTGGATCGTCGGAAGCTCCATCAGCTTAAAAGAAATTATGCGCGAAAATTTTAGACTGCATTCGGTTGAGTAAAAATACAGTCATTGCACTGTAACCGATGATAAAATAATATTCATAACAATGACATTCACAGTCAAGCTTAAATTAGCCTGCATGAAAGCAAATTCATTTATACTCATCACTTAATTGGCTACAAGTCGAGTTGAGGCTAGGCCAGTTTACTTCACTTCCATGACCGCAATGTAGGTAAGAACAAATGGTTAAAAAAGATTGTATTGTTCAAATGAGCTGCGTTAATTGAGATTTCTTCAGCATTCCATAACTAGAGTCACATAAGAAGATAGCATCTTACAATTTAAGGAAAAGATACACACGAAATTCTGCGGCGTTCTTCTACTGTTATTAGGTTGTGAACAGATAACATAAAATACTCGAGATGTATCACAAACTAACGTCCAAATAATAGGGATTATATCCAGACGCTATACTTTCAGAATTCGCTAAGTGAACGTAAGTACTTACGCTCTATTTCTTGTCTATGATTGGTGGATTTTGCTCGAAAGGCCGTCAATGAATGGCTGATGAACTTACGATCTCTTAACTTTTTTTGAAAGTATGAGCCCAGGTATGTACATTTTGAATCGTAAAGCAAAGATTCGGGCATCATGCATTAGCGGGCGTTCAGCTGAACAAAATTGAATGTGTCATTTCTACCTGTAGATCTAAACCCGAGCAACGGATTCATTCCAACACAAACAAACGTGGGAAAACATTTACAGTTGCATTATATATTTTTCCTTTTCATAACGGTTTATAAAGCGTTTTATTGCCAAGCCGATGAAAAATTTCGACTTCGATCTAAAACCTAATAACCTATTCTTATAACAACAATTCTTGACACTCGTCAACCTATAAGAGCCAAGTATTAAATATGATTTTTTTCACTAAATGACATCAGCATCTAGCTCACTAGATGCAGCTGCTTGAAGGCTACCATATTAAATTTAACAACGAAATTAACGTAAAGATTCGCGACGCGTACATAAAACGCGCCTTGTTAGATAGATCGGCATTTACAGAATAACACGGCTATTCATTTAGGTACACTTTGAGATACCAAACTAAATGAACGTGAGGAATTCTACTGTACTAATTCTACTTTTCATCCTGAGAAAACGGTTTATTAAAGGAAATAATTAAAATTTTATAAAATAATAAAAAAACTATTATATAATCACTGGGAAACTTATTTATAACAGTTATATCCAGGGCAACCTAGGGGAACCTACTTTATTGCACGAATTTCTACTTCGGGAGTAGAAATGACGCAGTCATCCTGACGCTGTCAGGATGCTGAAGACGCATCCTGACAGCGTCTCACTGAACTATAGAATCCATTAAATTTTTTTTCTGCAGGTTCCGCGGCAAAAGCGATGTTAGATGACGTAGGATGTCAATGAGAAGTCAGTAGTATCCGGATATATTTTTGAACTTCGTGCAATAATGCATTATTACAATCATTTATTGCAAATACTTGGTGGGGATCAGTATTCAGCCATTCTAATTGATTAAAATAAATTCCGATTTTTTTCGCATAAACTCAGTGAGTTTCATAAGATAGACAGCTGTGCATTATTATTATTTAATTACATAATGTTATTATATAATGGAGCTGTGCGTGAAAGTTTAATCACTAACCAAAAGAGAAAAGTGTTAGCATCTTTCATGATATTAATGTATTAAGAGTACAATTGTGCCTTGTTTTCTTATGTATCTGTTTTAAAGTCAGAGGGATTTGAAACCGTTGAAATATTCTTTGTATCTTCCCTAGTTATACAAGCATGGGATAATTCAAGGCTTTCTAATAAGCAAAACGAATCTTATTACTGAATCCTCTAATTAGAAGTGTTTTTAAAGATGGTTGTTAGATCAAAGTTAATTATTTTTAAAATATGATACTACGGTCATTATCTCCGCATTTAAAGCAAATTCTTGATGGGGGTCGACAGTTTAACAGGATATAACTTGCTAAGCTATTTACCAGATACCCGACTAGCGGTATGCCAGTTACCCATCTAGCGTTCTCCAAGAAATTGAAGCTGCGTTATCAGAGCTGAGTTATGAAGTGAATTCATTTGATTTTGAAAGATTCACCGCAGGATGTTTATATGTTTATAAAAAATTAATTGGTTTGAAATCAGTCAATCTGTGTTCAAGTTACATGAAATTATTAGCACAATTTTAAGATATAATATCTGGATCTTGCTGGGATCTGGGTACATGGATCGTGCCAGGCAACTAGCAAATAATTCTCGCCAAGCAACTCTACTTAGATCCTTAGCATTAATTAATTGCCTACAGAACAGAATTGCCTACAGAACAATTGCCTACTCTGATCAATCACCGATTGTACAATGCGTAAATTACGCCAGGAACCAGTGCTTGCTGCTATGATTATAGCTTGTTGTCCAGACAGTAAAAGTCGGGTGGGGCCACATGGCTTGTTTCGTGGCAGTTATTCCGGCCTCATGGAGAGTGACGCAGGCGGTGCAAAGGCTTCATCCGAAGCCTGTTGGGAGTGCAGCACAAGTCGCCTGCGCAGCTTGCAGCACTCGCAGAAGCACAACAGCACGGCGAGCAGCATGCCCAAGCAGAGCAGCATGAAGCATGAGCTCACCTGACAATGATAACATTCGTATTACTCCGGAGCCGAATTATTATTCCGGAATTGGCGGTCGTCCTTGATCGAAGTTTAAGATGACATCTTTAAGCATAAAGATAATGATTTCATGTGATGGTTCCTTAGCCTCTTCCATCAACATTAAGGTTCACTCAGTGCTGCCCATCGTACAGCAGTACGGCATTGATTAATGTCATCTCATTCGTTTTCCTGACTAGAGGAACTCCGTTACACTAGTTTTTGACGTTCCCTAAGTCATGCATCTGACTTATGTGATCTCGGTTACCCCCGACTTGAAGCACTTCAGTCACGCCCGACTTGACGCAGTTCAGTCACGCCCGACTAAGCTCACTTGGTCACGCGTGACTATAATCTCACCTCCTCTAGACCGAGCTTGGTAAAAGCAGGCTGGGCGCCCTCGCAGCTGCTGCTACGCCACCACTTGGAGCGCAGTTTCTCCAGCACTCCACCGTCACGCAGCTTCATAAGACTGACATAACATCGGTCTTAGTACTTAAAAATGTAAAAATTAATTGCGTAAAAATCTAAGTAAAACCTGAATTTGGATAATGATTGAGGAAGATCTTACATCACGTAACTTTTATGTATAGAAGATGCGGCGAGAAGTATTTATTAAATAAGGCATCACATCGCAAGAATATTCGACTTTGATACAGCATTGAAGTATAGCAATAACTCAACTGAACTGAATTCATTCACTGCGCACGGAAATATTTCGTTGGTGACATTTTAGTTTTTGAAGAAAGTTGTTCCGTTTTTTATTTATTGTAGCGCGTTGTAATTAACGAATTACATACACGAATATTAAATAAATAATTAAGCACTGAAAATATTATTTGGAAGCTCACTTGCTTATTAAAGGAAGATGGACGCCGAGTTGATGCTCCTCCTTGATGTCGTTTGGCATTGCGCCGGAACTTCATTTTAAGCCATAAACTTATAAATATAAATGGTTCATTCTGTGACTCACTTTGCGATTAATGCACTGATACGTCCATTTACCGGCGGGCAAAGCTGGGTCTGGGTGACCTACACAAGAACAAAAGGTGCATCGCTTGTCAGAAAATGTCTGCTTTATTTCTCTGGGAGTGAGAAATGAGACGTTGTGCGTGACTGTACCTAAACCTAAAGTACCTATATAGTAATACAATTTAACACTATTATTAGTACAATTGAATACTAACAAGAAGTTGAAGGAAGGCATGAGCGGTGAATTCTTCTGCAGCGCGAAACTATTCACTTGTCTGAACAAATGCTCGTTGAGAAGCCGGAGGTCACATTCCCTCCGCTGGATGTAGTCCAGCACTGAAAGTAAGACTTCTTGTTAAATCTCATTCAAAGCTTGAATTGTAGACAGGAAAATACTTGTCGATTGCTTGGCCTTGGTTTGTGTTCGCAACAGCTTGCACAAAGTCGGGAGATAAGAGGCCTTTAGCTCATCGAGTAATAACTCAAATCGTAGTTGGAACTTTTCACGACCATGACTTGCACAGTATTTAAAAGTTGGTTTCATTGAATAACAGTGTTGTCTGAATTTATGTGCTGCGACGAACGTACGATCAAAATGGTAATTTTTTAAAACGCATTCTTGGCTCAGAAATTTTTATATCGCTACCCTAATATGATTGAAGTAAAGTTTGAGCAAACCTTTGGACCGTAAACACTTTATTGCCAATGAATAACCTGGACTTCAAAGCGATCATCTCCACGTTACACATGGGAGTTTAATTAATACATTAATACATAGCTGACCTATATGCAGGACGCCAGGCATAAATGAATTAATTAAAGCTGCAATAGAGTTTAGTCATCTTCGACAGCAAATCCAAAATTTATTGATCACCAAGTGATGATTAGTCTTAAATGACCGGCGCGTTCAAGCGGATCAGATTGGAGCACCGTCTACAGCCGAGACGAAAAACTTAAAAGCTGAACAGCAGCTGAAATTAACAATCGAGCAAGAAGTGTTGCATTGCCGGTACGGAAGAGAACGGCAAAGAACTTAAATATAAAGAATCCTACGTAAATAACAACTTCAACCCTTGAACCAGAACCTCGGTCACACACCGCAAGCTGCGGTAAACGTATCAGAAGGCTTCCTAATCGGTGCAATAAAATTACCTCAAGCAGCAATGGAAAATGGGCTTTGCATCATAAAAGCAAAGCCTTGTGAAGATTGAAAATTGACTTCCTATCACAGTAACTAATTCGACCGCGTCAATCTTTCACATATACGATTAGATATATAGGAACAAATTACAACTCCACATGCAAATATTTTATTGTAAAAAAATACGGAATCATAGTCTGCAGAGTCCTCAACGGATAAATCTAAACGTAATTCGCAATATCTACATTTAATCTCCAATCATTTTGATCATTAACAGATTTCATATAAAAAGCTTTTCGGAAACGGAGAAAATTCGTTCGGAGGATATATAAAGAATGTTTGTTTTCGATCCTCCATAGACATTGAAGTCCTGCGAGTTCTTAGTTTATTTGATTTTAGGTAAAGTCAATCAGTTCTAAACCTCTTGAAGAATATCAAACAATCACAATGTGAAGATCCAAAAAGAACAAGAAACACAATTTTTAATCAACAAGAGGCAGCCGAAATTGCAATTATAGACAAAGACGTTTTACAACGCTGTTTCATATCTAGACGACAGCATAATTTAAGCTTTCGGGTTGACAATGACACTGGTTGCCAAAAAATATTAAGGATTTGAATATTCCTAGAATAAATATTCAATGGCATTTCAACTACGACAATGACATTGCTTATCCGAAAAATTCCTAGAATTTGAACAATTCATATATTAATTTAGAACGTAATCCGAGCTGCTTCTTGTGAAGGTAGAGTCACATCCAGAACTTTAGCATCGTCCAGTTCGTGAATCAAGTTGACGGTGTCTTGGTAGAGATCAGGGTAGTCGGTGCGCAGGATGGCATGGAAGGTGATAGCAGCTCTGAACTCTTCTTCGGTACAGGATACGTAGGGTGAACATCCTCCCTTCAGGACTGCGTACACGCCGTGAACTTGTACAGGGGAATAGATAACGTTAAATATTGAACATTTTAATGATGATTGCTAGGCTGATAATTACCGCTATGAAAATTGTTCAAATAATTTTTACTACTATTAATTGGGATTTGAAAACTTGTGGGATAGTGGAAATTCACAGTAAAGATAAAAATGTTCAAATTCCGTTCCTATATCTCAAATTTGATTAACTTGTCGAGATTATGATGAAATTGCCTAGACAAGAAACCAAATTTTTGCATCAGAGTACTGACAGGATAAAATTTTAAATAATTTCACCTCTATTAACCAATCGAGGTCACTTTCAACATAATAATCGAGTCAAGACTTGAGTTACATGAAAACTGAAGTATATTTCTTGTGTTGTCACAAAAATAAAATGGTGAAGTTTCTCCAGAATTTTAGGTCCGGAATTGAGTGCTGACCAGTCACCAATACTAACACCATTCAAATTATTATGCCATCGCACCTTTGAGAAATTGATTTAAACAATGCCATCTAACCCTGAAGTAATTCATTTGAATTATTTCTCACCTTTTAGTAATTTTTTGAAGTCGTCAGAAAAGTCGGGGCAGTCGCAGTTTGACTCTAAGATGCACTTTATGGCTTTCTCAACTTTTTGTTGACTATTCAGTGAAGGTCGAACGGTGAAGTCGGTGAAAAAATCCCAAGTTTTATATTCTTCCTCAGTTGGCATCTTGAAGTGTTCCTTTATTGACCGTTTTTGGTGTTTGTTTACAGCATTTGCATCTTTCGGATCAGAATTAGTGACTTCATTGATGCTCAAAACATACGGGTTGGGCATTGCATGCGTCTTGCGCAAGGAAACGGTCATCGTTCTTATATTATTTCCAGATGATAAAGCATGAAGATCTAAATCGGTCAAAATAACTGACAAAGCTTCAAAGATTTCTCTGGGTGTGACGTTTTCTTCGGAACCGACGACAAGGGTTATCTTCTTTGCTTTTGCGACGGGTTTATGGGGGTTTTAACATTCCAATTTCTTCAGAATCTGTTAAATCCGTTTGAGTTCCGCCCGATAAAATTTCAGTTTCATTAAAAATTAGTCGAATCCTGAAATTTGCACCAGAATCGTGGGATTTTAAAGATCCTTTTCCTGCAGCTTTGGCGAAACAAATGCCAGAAATTACGAACACAATTATGAATAACTGACAGTGCATTTTACTGGCCTTTTTTACACTACCCTGAAAAATACTCTGAAAACGAATGAAGATGCGTGAATTACATTGTAAAGTACAGATTACAATGATATTAAAACATTATAAAAGAAGGTGAGAATACTGCATAGAATGCCGTACCTCGTTTATAAGGCCGTCGTTCAACTGTTGATGAGGTTTGTGTGTAATTGATCTATGTAATAAACCTGCAGCTCATCACAACCTTATAAATGACACCAGTATAGGAAAAGCCTCACCAGTATGGGAAAAATGAAGAGTGCAGAACCAAATTAATTTATCCCGTAAGAATTCAATTAATCTACATTGATTGGTGCCTAAAAAATCATATTTTCTCCCCTTTTTAAGAAATAAATGCTTCACCGCGATATACTTTTCAACAATTTAATAATTTTAAGTATAGCAGCTTCTTTATTTCCTCCATTAACCGCGGCCTCGGCCTAATTTTCAGCATTCCTTATTTTTAAAAATCATCGGTCATTATTTCGTTTTAGTTAAAGAAAAAACCCACACCATAGACTCGAGTAAGACTCGTGCTTGTCTGGTGGTTAAGATCACAAACGCATCGAATTGAAGGTTATAAACTCACAAGTGGCTTTGAAATTTATGGTCGAAATAGGCAAATTGGTCGGGTGGAGAAAAATCAGCTACAGGCCAACACGCCTAACCACAGCTGACACCTAAATTATTTTTATTGTATGCAGGACAGCGAGATCTAAGATAAGTGTGTCCATGTTTTATTTGGCATAGGTCCCTTTGTTCAGTGCAGGTGTTGCGTACGTTTTCTCCCCACTTCACGTACAAAACCACAGCTTACCTTCTGATAAACACCTCAACATAACATAGTATTTTCGGGGCTGAAGAAATAAGCCCGATGTGGTCTGTCGCCGACTCTTGTACCTTTTGTGCCTTGTTACCAGGAGATCTAAAAACAGGTCTTTTGACCGGAACTTCTAATAACTGATATTTCTTTGGGAGTCTGCACCAGCACAGCCGCATCAAGGAGGCCATCCAGAGGCGTCAAAACAAGTTATTCACAAATTAATACGGCGGAGGGAGTTACGGCGATATCGATTAGTCCTCAAGTGTCCTGCCGTCTCCGTCCCAACCCGGTGATATAACTGTTCCCAACCCGGTGATGTACCGGTTGGGGAACTGAAGTTAGGTAGTTCTTTCATTTCCATAGAGGCGCGAATTTTAGCAGTGAGCGACTAGTTGGTATTGATTTTATTCCCACATAGCTGTTGACGATAACTCTGCTCAATTTCTGAACTTAGGTGAAGATTCGTGTTGAATCTTTCCTTGAGTCTTCATTTTCCTTCCTGGAATCACTCGTTATTGTTGGATAGAGGACCTTTCCGTGCCATTACAGCAACTACGGACGGAAGCTGATATTAAAAAATTAAATTAAGAAATTAAGTTCTTGAAAGAGAAAGATCGGAAATAAAATTTACCCAATTTTAACTTAGTAATGTTCTCCTCCGATCACAAACAGACTCGTGGTGAGCGTGGTGCGCTGGGTCGATTTGAAAGGAAAAAATTCATTTATATGCTTCGAAAAATTGTAAACGAGATGAGACATAAATATTTTATTACTCCCTCACGCCTCACCCGTGCTGCCCAGCACACTTCACTCGTGTAGCTCAGCGCCTCGATCGTGAAGCCTCACGCTTCACCCGCGTCTCAGATTCACGCTTCACCTGCGCTTCAGCCTTTCGCCTCAACTTTAGCCTCACCAGCGTCCTAGCCTTACGTCTCAACTTTAGCCTCACCCACACCTTAGCTTTACGCCTCAACTTTAGCCTCACCAGCGTCCTAGCTTTACGCCTCAACTTTAGCCTCACCAGCGTCCTAGCCTGACGCCACACCCCTCAACATTAGCCTCACGCCTCACCAGGATAGTCAGCGATGAAGGCGTACGTGCCGTTACGGACGCGCGTGAGGCCCTCAACATTAGCCTCACCAGCGTCCTAGCCTCAAGCCTCACCAGGATAGTCAGCGATGAAGGCGTACGTGCCGTTACGGACGCGCGTGAGGCCCTCAACTTTAGCCTCACCAGCATCCTAGCCTCAAGCCTCACCAGGATAGTCAGCGATGAAGGCGTACGTGCCGTTACGGACGCGCGCGAGGCCCTCATCGTAGGACGCGACGAGCACGTCGGCACCGAGGGAGGAGAGACGAGCGGCCGCCGTCACGTGGTCGGGGCTGCTCGAGCTCTGCACGCGTGCACCGGGATCTATTATATCAATTATTAATAATTACCCATTACTTTTAAATAATTATATAATTAATTACTAATTAGGTAATTAACTATTATATTATAATTGCTTAATTAATAATTAATATAAGTTATTTAGTGAAGTGCATTAGGATTATTTATTGGCTGCGTGGCGTGTATATTCCATTAGATTAATTTCAATTGATAAAGTAAGAGTAGTTGGAGTGTTAGGGGAAGGGTCGGATGAATGAGTGTCTGTATTTGCGGATGAATATTTTTTTTATATTATATATAATTATATTTTACGCAAGGAAACTGACTAATCTAATCAAACATAGAAATCTCATTAGATGAATGTTGTTGTATAGAAATAACCAGAAACTCAACGAATTGATATTAAAATTGCGCTGCAAGAAATGCCTTCAAACATCCGGCATGCAAGATAATAATCATAGCTACTACCTCTAGCCTCGATGAAACTAACGTTACATGTAAATACTAGACACTTTCAAGTAAAGGTGATTAACTAGAACGATATTTGTTTAAAATACCTTGAAATTTTCAATGTAAACGGAACCAACACGCGTGCCAAACTGCAGGTCAGAACCTACGAGCTGCCGCAGGCTGGATATCGGTGTCGAGGAGCTGGAAATACGAATACGTGCTACGAGAAAATTAATTCTGAATTACTATAAGGATTCCCAAAAATATTTCAACTCGCTTCACTCGATGTTTCAGTCATTTTAATTCTAGCAACAGGTTCTAATGACTGGAGACACGGCAATGTCGTACGGTATTTCTCTATTTTATCGTATTTGTACCATACGACATTCTCACATTTATCAGGACTTAATATAATAGACGACAAATAGAACGACGATAACGCACACATAAGAACAAAATAATATGATAAATTTGTAATTAATTAATTTTTAATTTTTTTATTCAATTAATTTATTTTATTTGATTTTTAATTAATTTTAATTGGATAGAATAATGAAAAAGTTTAATTAAAAAAAGAACAAACAAAAAGAAAATAATGGCGGTTATAAGAGGGAAGAAGACGCATGGGTTGCCTGGTGACGGTGAGGTAGGAGACGAGGTTGGACGTGTAGGACGCGTAGAGTACGAGACTTAACACCCACGTCATCCCGAACACCTGTCGCGTCGCCAGGGTCCTGGGGGCGGGGTCCTGACCTGTGGAGGGTGTGAGGGGTGTGAGGGTGGTAGGGGGAGACGTGAGGGTGGTGAGGGGGAGACGTGAGGGTGGTGAGGGGGAGACGTGAGGGTGGTGAGGGGGAGACGTGAGGGTGGTGAGGGGGAGACGTGAGGGTGGTGTGGGGTAGACGTGAGGGGGGTGAGGGGGAGACGTGAGGGTGGTGAGGGGAGGCTCACCCTGCTGCAGGAGCGCCGTGGCCGCCGTCATGACGCCGCTGCTGAAGGAGAACGTCGGGTCGTCTAGCTCCTCGACGCGCGACGTCTCCTGCAGACGTATTTAATTATTTCCTCGTTGTTATTTAATTATTTCCTCGTTGTTATTTAATTATTTCATTTGTGGCGAAAACTGCTACAGCTGAGGGGAGTCTTCTAGATCTCCGCGAGATTTGAAGAGATTTACCGAGAGCCTCAGAGCTTCTAAAGGAATAAAATTTACAGGAATGATATTAGACTCGGTCTGAATGGTGAATTTGTAAAGGAATAAAATTTAGTGGTTATAGAGGTGAAAATCAAATTTATTAGACTCGGTAGGAACAGTTGGAATAGCGGAGAATTGGTATGTTTCGAAATTTTATCAGGACCTTGCAAGCTGAACTGACTATTTCTGCTATACAATCGCGAGAAATGATGATAAAAGACGGATTGATGCTTAGTAAAGTTTGGAAACTCCAGAATTTTTAGCTATAGTAACTATTATACCTGTCGGTTGTAGAGCCTAAATAAATAATTACATTGAATATTGAATATGTAAAATGTTTATAAACATGAACTTGCCTCAGGTGCCCATCCGAGGCTGATCTTCCGGCCGCTGGCAACGAATTCAGCAGTCGTTGACTTGGTCGACTTTTTTTGCTTCAGCTGTTGAGTTCTTAGAGGTCTTAGTTTGTGTTTTTGTTCTAGCATTCTTGGTTTCCCAAAAACCTGATTATTTTTGGTGCGTGTTGAAGAGTCTCTGTACCTGTGCCAAAAATGAAATGCCAATTTGTTGAATGCAGGACTATACATACAAATGCAAATCTCCGACGCTAAATGACAAAGAAAAAATACTAACAATAAAGTACAGTATAGCGGTGTCAGCCACCCTGTAACCACTGGGCCACCCTGTAACCACTGTACCACCCTATAACCACTGGGCCACCCTGTAACCACTGGGCCACTCTGTAACCACTGGGCCACCCTGTAACCACTGGGCCACCCTGTAACCACTGGGCCACCCTGTAACCACTGAGCCACCCTGTAACCAATAACCACTGGGCCACTCTGTAACCACTGTACCACCCTGTAATCACTGGACCACCCTGTAACCACTGGGCCACCCTGTAACCACTGGGCCACCCTGCAACCACTGGGCCACCCTGTAACCACTGGGCCACTGTCAACATAAATCACACACAATAAGTCGCATCGCAGTCAGCATACCTGAACTTGGAAGTGATACAGAGGAACAGCGCAGTCACTGGTATGACAGAGAGTGTGCAGAACCACACGTTCTTGTTGAAAGGTTGCAGGTACACCCCGAACATGTTGCTGTGTGAAGTGCCTTCCTTTACCAGAATGCCTGCCATGTGTAAATGTTATCTTTGAAAATTATCTCTGGATGTGTGAACTCTGAAAATTGAATATGCTGCTTACCTAAATCACGTTATTACGAATCCGGGAATTTTTATTAATAATAAATCTAACGCATGCCAATTCAATATAATTTACTCCAAACATTCATAGAAGTCCCATATTTCACTATTTTTTCCAAAATTTGACGAAATTTACGATTTAAATTTTATATATGCACACTAATTTTTAATTAAATTTTTTCATCCAACTATTACTACTTTTTTCTGAAATGCCTCACTATTATCACTCTATGAAAAAATTTCATGCTCAGGTATTTCACCACGACAAGATAAATACGTTTTTACGCGGCCGAAAGCCTTGATATATATACGCGGTACCAGGCTTCAAACACAAAAGCTGTTTCCAACATATTTATATATAAGATAGTTTGTCGCTACTTTCCAAACTGCGCCATGAAAATACATCAGTCGACCTTTCCACATGTTGAATAAATATTGACCTCAAGAGCAAAAGATTATATGATGTAAAAAATAAAATTTGTAACAAAGTATGAAACAGAAAAAATAAATTATGTACATCAGATTAATTATACTGAATTACCGGCGCCAGCGTAAGTTATTGCCACGGCAGAGAAGTCAACCGCGCGTTTCCTAGCGACGCTGTAGCCGATGTTGCCAAGACCGACGTGGGCCCGCCCCTCCAGCACCTCCCTCAGGATACCCGTCCATGACCCATTAGGTAGCTGGGACCCAAAGTTACCGTCGCATACGTTGTAAATAGAGTATCTGTCCGGACAGAAAGTGTATAACGTATAAATTAAGTATAATAATCGAGATCTGTAACACCATAGAACTATTTTAATTAATGCCTAAAAATGTCGAGTTGGCACTGAATGTTCAGGGCCGTAAATGACAACCTAGTATTGTGGCTTTAGATGCGCTGCATGTCTGAAGAACTTTAGTGTGTCACTCAGAACAATCAATGAAGTAATTAATGACGAGATAATTACGTCGTAATGCCGACGTCATTCTGACGTCAGTTTAGTAGGGTAGATTTGTAATTAAAGGATGAAATAAGTGATATATTAAACCATTAAAGGCTGGGTGTCTCAATACAACCTCCAGTATCCGAGAACCTAGAAATATTAACCTTCCAAAAGTTTAAACTTAATGTTGCCTCCTTTTCCCTTCAGATACTGAATGGAGACTTACGATTCTGATGCAGAATGATGTATGTGAATATAAAATTCTGTTATAAATCTGATGCTGTGACATCGTAAAGGTTCAATAATTCGGTCAATACGGAGCCATGTCAGTTATGCACCAAATTATCATGTCCTTCTTGATATGGCGAAGAAGCATCGATTAATAATGAATTCTAATTGATTGTTCAGTCGCTACTATTGCTAAACGTATTGTTTTTTCAAACCTTGCCAGAGTGGTGAGCTTGGGGATATCTGTGAGAAATTTTGACCAATTTATGGCGAAGACTTTTAACCATACAAGTATACAAGATTAAAAAATGAATGATTTTCACGAGCATCAATGATTACTCCAAGGTTTAGATTAGCTTAATTAAAGTAATTACTCATTTAAGATTAAGAAAAATATATGATTACACGGGCATCAATGATTGCTCGAAGGTTTAGATTAACTTAATTAAAAGTAAGAATTTATTATTAAACGTATTGCCTTAACAAACTCACGTGAAGTTCATTTGCTGACTCAGCATGTTCATGATGTCGACGAGAAAGCCTGTGTGGTTCACGTATTTTGGACATGTCTGCTCGGCCCTGCAATGCACATGACTAAAAAATGTCCTTGTCGTGAAAAAATTAGCTAAGATTAAAAAATAAGAAAATTCCAAATAAATTTGGATCATTTCAGTTACTTTGATGCAAATATAATTAATTTATTTGGCCCATGTGCCAATTGCAACATTTATGGCAGGACTCCAATATTCTTCTTGTATTTTCCATGGATGTGATGGTGCAAGCAAGAAAAACCGTCAGGAAGTAAGCCTGTAAAGCGCGTGAAAATAACCAATTCTAAATAAAATGAGGCCAAAGAACCTTCCAGATAAAAGTTGAAATAGAAATTTTTAGTCTGTAAGCAACGTATTGTATTCAGTAGAAGTATCTGCTAACGATGTTTACGTACGTGCGCTCGTGAAAGTTGGTAAGCGAATATTAACGAAAAAAAACTTACAAGCGAAAAACTTACTGACTGGCGGGAGGCAGCTTCTCGCTCCCCATGAACGGCCAACTCTGTCATGATAAATTTATTTTAGCTCAGCATAAAATGTATCTTTGATAAATAAATCTTTCATCAACACTTCTATTGAAAAAAATGAAACAATATTATATAAAGCTTTCTACGTAAATTGACACAAAAACACAACTAGTAATGAATGAATGAGGGCAATTATCTTGACGAATACGAATTAAAAAGGCTCGAAACGAGTGAGAATATTTTGTTATTAATTTTAGGTGTACAAAAAAGCATGGTAATGAGACGATACTTCTGACGATTTACGAGCTAATGAGACTGTACTTCTGACGATTTACGAGTTAATGAAACTATACTTCTGACGATTTACGAGCTAATGAGACTATACTTCTGACGATTTACGAGCTAATGAGACGATGCTTAGTTACGGTTGAAGTACAGACAAAATGCACGACCACCGTCTTCTTATTTCAAACCGTTACGTGATTTAAATTTGTAATGCAAATGAAGATGCATTGAAGCAGAAGGACAAACGCGTGCAAATTACTGAGGATCTGGGGGCTGATTGTTGGGTGCTGGCATAACTGAAGAAATGTGTCAGCGCTGCTGGTCAATCGAGGAGTTTTGACTGACGTTATTGTGAGGCTTCCTTTGTTCTCGTAACGAGAAAAATGCTCCCAAGAATATGAAAAGAGCATGAAAGAGGTTCCTAATGCGCGCATCAGTCCGGCAATTGGATAGGAGTGCGTCAAGTTCAGAAGCCAGGAAAGGATATAGCTTTGCTTGCCGTTTTGCATACAGAAATAGTTGCCTACATTTTTAGATCTGTGCACTGGCAAGTAATTTTTTTTTGCAAATAAAATCTTTAGTTTTAATGACTAGATTATTTCAATGAAATGATTGAAGACTTGAGGATACATCAATGACTTTACCAGCACCGCTGCGGTGTCAGAGGATGAATAATGAATTAATTATTGGACATATTGCGGAGAAATAGCTCATCAAGTATATCTACTCAGAGCGTACATGGTCAATATCAGATCTTCCACGCTGTCAATCGTTGTAAACGAAATCGTTTGTTCTGGAATTCTTATGGCCTCCTAAATTATAGTCCCTAAGAATGACCCAATTATTATTAATAACCGAGAAAGAGGCCCCGGCGAGTTGGAATTCCGTGCTTCGTGAAATCGGTTTCTCATTTTTGATGGTCCATGCAGACGCGCTCTAATTGATGAGTTATGCGTGTGAAATGCGCAAAGACGTAACTATGACTCATGATAAATACGATAAAGAACTCGACATCAGCGAGAGTTTTGACAAGCTATTATTGATGTCCGTTGTCTCCTTATTAGTTTGAAGGAACTTGTACAATTAATATCTAGATATAGTTACGAGAAGTTTGTATAATCCTGAATTTATGCATAAAAGTCACGCAAAATATCGCAAATTGAATTTGAATCGCTTAGTTAAATTCAATGAAAAAATTCTACTTCTATTGTGTTTGTTGAATTTGTTATCAATATTTTAAGGAGCCTATATAAGCCATAAGGCCATGGGCCTATTTCTTCAGTGCCGATACTTCTACTTTATTAAATCCATAAACTGTTCATGTTCACCAGAAGGTTATAACCATGCACAATAATTTTAAGTGGAAAATTTATCATTTTAAAGTTCGATTGCATTAAAAAGAAAAATTAATTCCCTTTAAGTAGGTAGTCCATAAATTGCTTATAAATGTTACTTATAAATTCAGGATAATTATTGTTCACTTTCGACGTACTTTTATCTATGCACGTTAAAATTATATCATTATTAAACACAAGAGCCCGAAGTCACTAACAGCTAATTGGTTCTCACAATTCAAATTGAACTTCTATTGCCACATTGTATGTACAAGCGCATTTAACAACAATTGGACGTTCACAGTGACGGAAATGTGGCGACTTACGTTGACGGTTGCCATCGTGAGATGCATTCCTTGCAGCTGGTAGTACGGCTTGGAGGAGTACTTAACGAGGCTACCATGCACGAGCCCAGACTGAGTACTGTGTACGGGGTACCAGGAATACGCTGCTACCATGGCTGGTCTTGATGGTAGATAGTTCTATGATATTAGGACAGGTCTATTACAATGGGTATTCAAGTTACAACAATGTTACTTACAATATGCATTCAAGCGCTGCTGGATTGAATAAAGTTAGTGCAGGTATGGAAACATAATTAATAATTAATCTATAATGATTATCGTATTATTTTTAATCTCCGAACTTTAGAAAATGTCGAACTCAGTAGCGATATAATTTGAACAAAAATTATTTCAACAGTGATTAAAAACAAATAATCAGAATCGTATATGAATAACCAAACAACGATAGCTTCAGAAATAAGTGAAATAGTTTAAATTGAAACAAGAGCTCACGGTTGAAGAATGATTCGACGGCTGAGATATAGCAGCGAAGTCTGGAGGGCGGACTCGCACTTCAATGGGTCGGAAGACAGCCTATTGAAGTAGGCGGTGTAAAACATTATTTATTTCATGCTTAAAACCTTGTGTTCACTGAAATGGAACTCTTGAACAAGCCTTTAGTTACCTACGGTTAAGACCCATAACAATGAATCTATCAGTATACATCAGTATATAGAAGAAAGACAATTCTTTCTTTATATACTAAAATAGATCTCTTCAGTATATTTCACTACAATGACCGTGATCATAGGTAAGAAAATCATTCACAACTATTATTGATGCTGTTTAGACGTTTCACTTGAGGATTAGATGATTAGATCAAGAAATTAGTGAAATTATGGACCCTGTCCCATATATATAGCATAACAGTATATTAAATGTAAGAAAGCACCGCTGAAAAGCATCTTCTTGCTGGATTTAGCGTTACAGTCAAGACTTGCTTCATTTTTTTGCGTAATGATGTACTGGGCTGAGCTGGAGTGACAGGACAGGGCAGCAGATTCAGACAGTCTCCTGGCAGTATCGATGTTTTCTGACAGCAGCGATTTCAGGTTCAGCTGAAAATCCGATAAAAAGAGATTCTTCAGCAAAAAAATTTTCCGATTAAAAGGAATGCAAAGAAATGGAAACGAAAACGGGTATAGCCATTTTTGTTTGAAACTTGCTATATTGAGTGAGTAATGTGCATTTTATGCTTTTACACGAGAGAATCGACAAATTATTGATTAGAAGACAAAGTCTATATTAAAGGTTTTAATCGATAATAAAAGAACGAACTGCGAGTCGTTAATTAATTTTTCTCCAGGATTGTGAACAAAAATTATGGACATGTATTAATACCATTTTTTTATTTGCATACTTTCACGGAATTATTAGTGCGTAAGAGTGGTACCAAATGCTATTATCATAAAAAAAACTTGTTTACCCTACATAAAACTACTAATCTCGTTTATAACGCGCGCAAAGTGTTCACTTGCGTCTTGCCATTCAATTATGCGTCATACCATAATAAGATGCGTCAATAGCTTACATGCTTTGCATTTTTAGGTCTCGTAACCAATCATAGTATCCATCGAGAAATACTGTAAGATTTTCTCTTTCGAGATTCAATAAAGTCATCGTCTCCAGCAAATTGATTTCTTTCTTCTATCTTACTTCGAGTGATGACAGAACTTTACCACCCTAGGGCCGTATAATCTAAAATAGTTAAGAGTTCGTAATTTCATCAGCCAATCACTGACGGCTTTTCAAGCTAGACATAGGAGAAATCGACCGCTACGTGTACTCAGGCCGCTACGTGTACTCAGGCCGCTACGTATACTCAGGCCGCTACGTATACTCAGGCCGCTACGTATACTCAGGCCGCTACGTATACTCAGGCCGCTACGTATACTCAGGCCGCTAAGGCCGCTACGTGTACTCAGGCCGCTACGTATAATCAGGCCGCTACGTATACTTAGGCCGCTAAATGTACCTAAGCGAGATTATTAATTACGGTTCCTGCCTTAGAGCTTCACCTCATCCTGTGCGAGGTACACGGCGTTGCCGGGAGTGTGGGAGCTGGAGGCTGAGACGACAGCGTCAGAAGGCGTCACGATGAGCCACTCTCGAGAAGAGGAATTTCCCTCTCTCCCCAGACTCGAGATCTGAAAAGAGAAATTGGAGAAATTTAGAATCTGATTTAAAATTTTTTAATATGAACGACAGCTTTACTTGGAAAGAAGGCACAACACGGAAATAAGTGTGATATTGATATCGGAATTGGAGGAAGTCGTTGAGTGCATAGTTTCCCTCAATAAAATTCTAATAAGAAGCAAAAAAAGTCCTTCGAACACTTCAAAGCTGCCTTACACTTGAACAAAAGTGCTTCTGAAAGTTATGAAAATTCGGTTATGAATAATTACTTACTCCTTCAGTATCTGGTCAGTTAAAATTAAACCATCACTTAATCAGTGCAAAAAGTATGCATAGTTTATTGTGAATAAGTGGAATATTAAACGGAAGCCGAGTTTGATCTAGTTGACCTAGTTTTCTATATAACATCAATTATTAGCTGCCAGAATGTGGGTGAAGCTCTTCATGGGAATTATTAAACGAATTGCCGACATATATTGGGAATATTTCAAGTTTAACGTTGCTCATCCATTGAATCTACATTAAAAGGCATTAACATTAAAATTAAAATTAACATCTACATTAAAAAGTAAAATTAAATGGATGAGCATTATGAATGAATTCATTGTTCCACCCTGCATACTACGATTTCAGCACCGTAATACTACGATCAGGCGACTTTCGAAAATTGCAGTTAATTTATATCTCTTCATTTTATTTCTTAACAGCTTCACTCTAGCGTAAGATGCAATTAATTTCTCTCAATAACTTAAGTTTGACCTCACCATGCATAGCAGAGCGGTAGCTGTGAAGCGATTCCCCAAGGCGATCACTTTCAGAGGCCGTCCCGTCAGCCAAGATTCTTCCCAAACGAAGTCTCGAAGCAAAGTTAAGGTTGAATTTTGAAACCAAGGACAAGCCGACGTTATACCAGTGGTGTTCCGTGTCATAACCGTGTTATATTGTTGTGGAACAGCCTCCTGCCTAATCATAGTTCGGCTGATTGCTGCTTCCAGTCCCTCAGGAACGGTTTTCAAAGCTAGTCGAGTTCCATAACGAAGACTTCTCTTCAAAAGCGATCGCCCTGCATGAACAATCCGAATGACAAATACGGGTAGCAATAAGTTTGTACATTCATCATTGCTTAAGAAAGGTATGCAGTTTCCACATCCATTACGCTTGACATCTTTGACTTAGCACGAGAACCAGTATATAAAAATGAAGTCTAAAGAACCGTCGTTACAGATTTGGTACAGATAAAAATCCGGTCTGCCACTAATCGGAAGTTCTATGTTCATGAACTCCTGGAGAAATAAAAACGCCGTCCAGACATGATTCTACAAATAAAATTTTTCTGCCATGCCTTCGAGCGAGTCTGCGTCGTCAAGCCTCATTTACAACTCAAATGTCCGTAAAAAAAATTCCAGCCTTCGAGAACATGTTACTTGACGCTCTCAATGTGCAATACTATGTCGATGCATTTACAGTATAGTGGGGGCATAGTGAATGGTTATAACTAGGCTGAGTCTTGGAATTCAGCCTTTTACGTTAGAATGAAGCAAGTTTTGTTCATCGTAAGTTTGCAGTTTACAGACACCACAATTCACGTTCGCGTGAATTGAGGACATGGACAGACAGATATGTAGTTGGTCTGGCTTTTCGATCAGAGAATGCCGTAATTGGTACGTACGAAACCACTATTTTAATTAGTTCTCATACTTAGACCCGTGATGTCCCATTAAATAATCTGATTCTAATTTCAAATCAGGGCCACAATATAATATTTTACCATGTATTTTTACAATCAGTTTCACATGACCTAAATGTTAATGAATTTCAAAGAACTTTTATGTGATGCCTTCATCAAAATTCATGACATAGTCTAGGGTATATTTAATGAACTTAATTCACACCCACGGCTCACCTACGGTCGTTTTTACGTCATCCTTAGAACTGCTATCTGTGACGAATATGGCTTCTTTCCACCGTAGTTGTCTAAACCATGTGAGCAGAAAGCCAAATGTTCGCGGAATGATTTGCAGTAGCCGACCGCAAGAGGTCGCACGACTCACAACAGAGCAAGGATCTGTGTTGACCGGGAACTGTGGTAAATTGATGAACTTATATGTGGTGCTTACGTTGAAAACCTCAAGGTCCAATAGCAAAACATTTGACTGCACCATTTGCAAGAAGGTACACGAACCAAACAACACCAATACCGGTGGTGGTGCTAACAAATATTCATGAATGTTACTTGAATTCAGAAGTGCAATATGTTTTGAGAAACTCGCAGGAGGGGCAAGATTAATGTGTATGGTGTTAGGGATCAAGTTTGACGCGTTTGACCCCAAACAGGGCAGTGGTTGGTAGATTATATCTTCTTTGGTCCCTGGTAACATGGTTAGATGGTCGGTGCACGATTCGTGCAGCACGATCACTGGACCTGTGTGGGACAAAGTGGAAAAAACAGGAATAAATTACTTGTGAGCACTGTTACTTCAAATAAAATTACGCTAGACAAAAATTTGTGAAGTATCTAACATGAAATCACGAAGTTTAGCAGAAGAAGATATTTCAACAACAAAGCTTTCAACGAAACAGATGACTGATAAAATATAATTTCAAATGAATGAGGTATCTGAAAGAAATAACTTTCCTTCACGCGACGTAATAAGTAGCTGCATATAAATTAAAATTTACGTAACTGAAAGTGTACTAATGACAGGATAGACTGCAATATACCAGTGAAAATCTATAATAAATATTTAACTTTTTTCAGTTATATGAATGATATGGAAACTAGGATTTAATTAGGATAAATTAATTAATTTGCAACTGTTTCTTTATTACGCGCTAACACTAATAGTTTCAATTCAAGTACAATAATACGTAATATATACCGATCTATTTTTATGCTCATTTGGTCTCAATGCAACTAAATTATTAATTGTTATAGTTTTATTTTACGATCATTTAGTTTCATAACAACTACAATAAAGATTGCCACCGATGTTCTGTAACTCGATTGAGGTTACCGAATTAGCTTTCTCATTTAGACATTTCAGCAAGAGTGATAGCAAATGCTACTATTAATCAAAATAGCTTTGTGTTTTATTCAGTAACAATGGAGGAGTCGATGAGTTACTTACGGCGCAGGAGACTGACAGCAGGTCTGGGAGGGCGGGTGATGACTAAAGCTTGCCCGGCGACACTTACGAGCAGCAGCACGATTAAACACTGGCTATGCATCATATAATTTATTTCCTGAAACGTACGATATATCATCAGTACGATATGTGAACGCAATGATAGACTAACGCAAACTTGATTACACAGTGAATATTAATTATGATTTCGATCTGTAACTCGGAATCTCCTGGAATGAGTTTTTGTGATCAATAAAAAAATACTTAGTTTTTTAATTTACTAATAATTGCCCATGATGATGCAGGAATCAGTGGAAAAACGAACTTTGACATGTTGAACCGAAGTAGTCTTTCATTAGATAATACAGAGTTCGAAAACTCTACAAGCTCTCTCAACAACGGCGCAACACCTACTGACGCATGGGAGACTAGGTCTAGGAGTACGTGCTAACGGCGAGTCGAGCGCATAGTCATAATTCTCCGAACCCATTGGTCATCTCAACGATGCAAGTACACAATAAGTTATTTAACTTATTCTTGCTTGCTAAAATAGGCGTTCAACTTAATTCAAGTTTGCATACGATTCAGGACACAGGAATTGAGTTCACACTATTAATTATATCATTTATATGCGTTTCGCTGAATCGAGCGTCCGTGCTTTTTAACGTAAGTTGCACGCACATTAAAAAAAATCTGAACAAGTCTACGGATATTAGCACTAGCATTTTATTATCCTGGATGTAGACCATTCCAAATTTCGTGGCATTAATAAACCGCGACAATCAAAGAATGTCTTAGGACAATGGACTGAAGTCAAGATTCTTTTTATATGTGACAGTTGTCTGATTCTTATTGGTTAACGCTTGTGAGTTATTGGGATAACTACACAATATCGTCCAAAGACAAGACGAGGACAATCAAGTAAAAGGACAATTAAAGGCCTTGATGTTAAGTAGTTTACTAAAGCAGGACTTCAGTTGACATTACTCATGTCAAGAACTGTAACGAGTATAAATAATCATGATACGCTGCTGTAAGCTATGCTGTACTTCATAAGGTTAGGCAGAAGTGCTATAGAGAAAAATATACTGTGCAAAAAATGTACACGCTTAAAATTAGAAATTGACATGAACAAGATATGTACAGCCGAATGTTCAGTAGATCATAGAAGCCGAGTGGAATAAGCAGTGAAGTGGCGACAGTGAAATGTTCTATCCATAGACAATACCAGTCATGTTCCATCTCGCACAACAACTACACCACCTTGTTGATCACACAACAATCTTGTTGATCACACAACAATCGTGTTGATCACACAACAATCGTGTTGATCACACAACAATCTTGTTGATCACACAACAATCTTGTTGATCACACAACAATCGTGTTGATCACAAAAACGCGACTTCAAATATTTGGCACATGGAAGGAACCAATACAGAGAACAAGCGAGCAGCATGGCATGAATCTTGCTTCACTCTAAGAAATTTTCACTTCACGATGAAAAATTGAAAAGTTAATGTAGTTGGGCATGATTATTTATTATATATTATGATCACAAGGTGCGGCGACGTCAGATTGAAAAGCAACTGCGGGTTTTTTCACCAAATATCACTAACTTACTAGGACAGACGAAGTTGAGCATTGAGTGCAACTTTTTGTACACTAAGTTGGCAATTATTGCAATGTTTGACATGGAATAGCTAATAACCACGAAGAATAGACAACAATTCTATCTAGTCATAAAACCGAAATAAAGACATTTACAGCAAAAAATTCCTAGATCTAACAATAAAATGCGCTCCCAGTGAAATGAAGTTTTCAATTAGAAATAATCGTCAAGTTCATCGATTTCAGTAGGTATATTAGTAACAGGCATTTGTATCACACTATATTATTAAGAGATCTAAATTATAGAAAACCACTTACAAAAACATGAAATTCATCTCTGCCACAAATATTATGGAAAATAATACTAAGCTCATCGATTGGCAGATATTCTTTAAATTGCAAAATTTGCAACTGGAAAATGGTATCTTGAAGCAACGGAATGCCTCACTAGCATGAATCACAATACAATCAACAATATTACGCCAATAATGAAGGTAAATAAGTCAAATTGAAATCTAGAAATATCATCACTTATGATAAAAAAAACAACATTAAATGATGGAAGCACCAATGGTAACACTCTTTTGCTGAGATCTGTGGGCGATTGAAAATATTAGGGTAGCTAGGTTTTTCAATGGGTAATGAGAATTATCAAGGTTTAAGCGTACTTAAAATACAATCCGCTTTTCCATCACAATGTGAAATTAGCTATATTAAGCGATGAGGAGATTTTTTCTAAGTGAAATGAGAAATGACAAACGAAGTATAGAGGTTACATGCATGGAAGATACAACGATTAAGTTCATGCAAAGAAATTTTCAAAGTAGAAAATCATATAATTCAAATAACGACCATATTATCAGTATAGATCTCTGGAAAACCCCTCGGCATAAAGCTGACGAGATATTTAATGGTGAGAGCTGGAATGAGCAAGCGCTTGTCACGAGGTGCTTAACATTCAATCTGTTGAAAACTTATTATGCTAAATATCAATACTATCACTGGCATCATTGTCAACGTTTCTTCGTGAATTGCGCAAGTAAGACCAGACAGATAGATGGCTCTAGCAATGCAGAGAAATACTAGACGGAAAACAAAAATATGAAGAAAAACAGAATATCAATGATTTCAAATAACAATTAAAACTATGATTAAATGTAAAATTGATTACATTCCATTGTAATTTAAAAATTACATTCCAGATTTAAATAGCAGTTAATTTTTGGAGCTTTTAATAAAGCATTTCAGAGAGTTTCCAGAGTCTATGATAGTGATACGGATTTTCAGTTAACTATTCTAAATTCTCGTCACAGAAATAGGCAGTGTTAGAAATCACGATACAAAAAAAAAAAAAAAAATCACGGACAAAACCAACATACAATTGGTGAAATAATTCCAAACTGACTAACTAAATTAGAGAGTCAATCGCATCAAAGAAAACCAGTTTTAATCGCAGGAAACCATCCGGTGGGAATTATAACTAGTCAAATTTCTAACAGACAAGAGCGTGTGGGCTGTGGGCGTTGTCAGCTGCAAGAGCGGCAGCGGCTTTGGCGCCTCCGAGGCTCTTCCTCTTGTGGTGGAAGGTGAGCCGCTGCCTCAGCCGTCGGTCCCGCCGTTGGTAATGCTCGTTGAAGTCCAGACGACTGCTCAGCTGCTGTAGATTGTCGTCGTCCTGAGCTGCCAGCATCAGAAGCAGCGACTGGACCATATCCTGCAGGCAGGGCAATGTTATTACACAATGTCCGAGTAACGAAAGGATTAAAAAGTAAGAATGACAATACAAAACAATGCTTCAATGGTTAACTGTCCAAAAAACAACGAAGAGAAAAATATTGAAGAATGACTTAATAAAGAATGTTTCTGTTTAGATAAATGTTAAAGAATGTGAAGGAGCTTCAAACGAGTTTCATAAAGGCTTACGTCTCACTGAAGCCACAAATGTATTAAGAACATCAAGATCAAACTAAGACGGCTCAACTTTGGCAAAAGGAGTAAGAAAACTAGAGAATGAAAGACATTCGAATTATAAAAGTAATAATGTACATTAATTGCGATAAGTAAGAGTGGCAATAGTTGCAGGGTTCAGAGATTATGATAGCGTTACATCGTGTAGGTGGTACATCTTGCAGCTAAATGGAACGTACTATTATTTGACTCCTTACACAAGATTATTTTATAATTGATATATTAGGTCTGACGGCTAACATAGTATTGAGCCTCAGGAAAACTTGACATATTTAGCGCATTTTCTCATTCATGGAAAAAATGCACTATTGTGCTCGCCATGTCCGTCTGTCTGTCCATCCGTGACTTCACGTTTTCATCAACGAGGAAATGCGCTCTCTGTCACTTACTGCAGTGAGTAGTGAGTTATATTTTTTACTGTTAAAGTTGACCTGGTAAGTTTGTGTGAGGATCTTGAGTTCGGTCTTGAGTTTGGTGACAAAGCGGGACGAGAAGACGTGACGCCGCTGCTGTTCAGCTTCCTCTTCCCCGGCGCCCGTACTGAACTGACCTTCCTTGGCCAGAGCCTAGGTTATATTCGAAACAGTTACTATTTAAGTTAAAAAACGCAGTTTCTTGAATTTGATTAAAGTTTAACACGGTGTGCACTGTGCAAGATTACAGAACGTGGTACACAACAACTTAAATGGAATGAAACATTAATTCATTAATGATTGGGTTGGTTCATTTCTCAAATTGGGTTGCTTTATCTTTCAAACAACGACCATGTATACAATTTACAGCACAAATAAAATTAAAAGCAATACATCAATCAAGCATTAAAAGTCATGCAGGGTGACAGACCAGTTCCCTTGAACGCTTCTCCTGTCGGGCTTGTATTTCAGCAGCAACGCCGGTGTGTAGTCGCGTCTGTAGCTCTGCCAGCCGCACCATCAGGTCATAAATGGAGCGAAGGTGCGTCCGAACGTCCTGGTTAAACATGGAATACAGAGTGAAAGTTTTTAAAAAAATTATGTCAAAAACAGAACAATTAAAAAAGGATCTTCCAGGGAAGCGCTCGAAAAATTATTGTTCAAGGCAAGTATACGTAAACGACGTCCTGGTCAAACATGGAATACAGAGTAAAAGCTTGTAAAAAAAACTTGTGTCAAAGTGAGAAAAAAGAATTCATTAAAAGAAAATGTTCCAGGAAGTGCTTGTAAAAATTTTTATTCAAGGCGAGCATTCGTAAAGTATGGTGTTCAAGGTAAGCACTTGTAAAGCCTCTTGTTTAGGTACAGTACTAATGAGGCATGTAGCGTACAACTGTGTGTATGTACAAGTACTTGTGAAAAATGTTATTTAGGATTTGAGGACTTATGAAAAGTCACTCAGTGTTACAGCATTAAAAAAAATCTCATTCAGGGTTACATAATTGCAGACATGTCATTCAAGGTTTTACTTATGAAATGTGTATGTTAGAGCCGTATTATTATGCAATATTATACAAATTTATTATCCATCGGTCATATTGGCCGTAGGTGAAAATCCTTGTCAATAATGATAACCTAAGGATCCTCCTGTGCGATTGTGGTTGAAACCGACAATGACCCGAGCAAATGAAGGGTCCTAGTGACAGTGAATATGACAAACAATGAAGCAAGACGCACGGCACTGCGCTGGTCAAGTAGCGCGCCCTTGACGATCCTGGCGAGGAAGGAGTTGTGCGCGGCGATGAGGCAGTCGAGGCTGTTAGGGGCGTCAAGCGCCTTCATGAGAGCGTCCCATGAGACCTCGAGCACCTCAAAAGTCACGTAGTAGCCCAGCTGGTGCACCAGGTGGATCATTTCACTGAGCAGCAGCTGCAGGCCATGCACCACCACCTGCACCTCTGTGGTAAACAAAATATTCGGTTCAAAGCCATGATCTAATTCTGTTAATAACTCTCAATACAACCCGGGACTTTTAACACAATACCTACAGCTGACAAATACGCATTGAAAACGTATATATACAAACAATAAATTGTCAATTAGAGAGGATATACTCATAGAATCAATAACATTCAGGCCTAAGCAAATAATTTAAATCATAGTTATTATAAGATTATCTAAGGCTTTGGTATAAAGAAACCTGGCAAGTTGCGGCAGAGTTTGGTGGTGGCGGCCTGCTGCTTCCACGTGTCGGACAAGACGCACTCCATATGCTTGGCCCGCCACAGCGAGTTGAAGAGCATCAGGTATTGCTGCATGCACTGCGTCGTCAGCACCTGACCACAATAATTCATCAAATATTATTACACAATATAATCAATTAATATATAATACATATAATAATTTCAATAATAATTTTCCGTGACTATATTCACTCAAAGACAATACTTGTGCAGACAATAAATTCAACATTTGTAATGAAATGATGCTCTAACAGCATTATCGTGCTAAAAAAATGAAATTAAAAATTTATTAGCCTAAATTATTCTGTCTCTGAAACTAAACCATTCACAAATTAATTTTCACTGCACCGGGTTACTTGATTTATAAATATCTTAAAGTGAGATTGTGCATAGTTGAAGAATAAATTCTGTGAGGTACAGCAAATAAAAATTTATTTTTCTTCTCTCAATTTCAAAAGATAGGGATAAAACTTTTGATCCAAGTATGACATCATCAGGCAACACAGAACCTCACGTTGCAGAGTAAGAAAATGAGAGAGATTGGTTGTTTAGACATGAAAAAATAAGTCAGCGATTATCTAACTAACAAGTTGAATGCGTACAGATTTTTGATGCGAGGTGTTAGGCTCATCCAACAGAAACAAATATCAAAAAATTTAGAGTTGTAGTACAACTTAATAAAACTACGAGACGATTGGTAGGAACTAGCAATTTGTTGTAGAATATTAACCCTCATCAAAGTAGTAGTAGTAGACTTTCCAGTCTCTATAACCAAATATGCTTCACTAATCACCAAAAGAACTAATCAGAGAATAAGAAAAAAGCATTATGCGGCCTAACACAGACAAGCAATAAGCATAAAGCGGCATGACATAGGCAAGCATTAAGCATAAAGTGGCATGACATAGGCAAGCATTAAGCATAAAGTGGCATGACATAGGCAAGCATTAAGCATAATGCGGCATGACATAGGCAAGTATTAAGCATAAAGCGGCATGACATAGGCAAGCATTAAGCATAATGCGGTTAGACACAGACAAGCTTTAAGATTATACGGCCTGACATAAACATGGTCCCTCATACCGTGCCGATGGGACCGTCCACGTGATAGTCTAGGCTGAAGACGTCCCAGCCTGTGTCTCCTTGCGCCACCTGCATTGCAGTTTCAAATGCAAGTTAATACTTAATAAAATATTATGAATCGAACTCAATCTAACATCGAACCCAATTTAACCCAAATCTGCATGCAGGAAGCACACAAGCTTGAAACATAACGATTCTAACCATTTAGGCGCTTGGTTTGATATCAGAGTGCTTATGGAAAAAACACATAAATATGCTTTACTAAAACGACTTTCATAGCTTTATTTAGAGATTCAAATATCCAGAAATAGCTTTTCTTTTAATAAACGCATATACAATGGCATGCGTTAATTGTCTAACACCAACACATACCAATTCATACTTGATTTTTTACAACAGAACCTATTACTGTCTTTTTAAAATGATTTAAATGACTAAAATTTTGAAAAGCAAACAAGAAACGAAAACCATTTACTACCACCAGCAAGAACTATTTCCTTCAGAGACCAAATTCAATAAAACTAACCAATTCACTCATCATGACAAGTGAACGCGATGACTCGATGCAACCACAAGAGAAAGGTGTAGTAATAAATAGAACTAAATAGAAAATTATAGGTGAATAAGCAAGCACGAGACCTGCAGCAGCTTGACGTCGAGTCTGCGTAGTGTGTCGGGATGGTCAAAGCGAGCGTTGCTTCCCGCGACCGCGGTCTCCAGCAGCGAGGAGAGGTTGTGTGGGTACAGGCGACTGGCAGGCTGGCATAACTCTACCCTGCGCGGCAATCTTCCGTTAGAATGTAAAAAAAAAATTTAATCACAATGTGAGATGATACAAAGGAGTCAATTAGAGTGCGGGAATTGCAAACAGAGGAAGAGCTAAAGTGCACAGCTAAATAAAGACAGCCGCTACATCTTGAGCGTGTTGCTGCTTTTCAGGCATGAATGAAAACAAAATCCAGTTCACACGGCGTCCGGCGAACTTGTTTCCACTTATAAAGAAGCTTCATGCAGAGTTAAATCTCTTTAAAAGAGTTAACGACAGCTAGTTTATTTAAAAATAGCTATGCAAAAAGTCGGGTTCCACATATTTTTATTAACGTGAGCAGTGGCGGACAAAACCGTCAATGGAGATGAAATCAGCCAAAATGAATTAATTTTACCCACTCCTGTAAGCCTTTATTTGTCAATGGCAATTCAATTAGATAAAAAATCATCCTGGTAGCCAACGTCACCTCAATGATGGCCAACGCAATCACAACACCAGCTCAACGCTGGTCAACGTCACCTCAACGTTGGTCAATGCCATCCCAACGCTGGTCAATGTTGCCACATATTTGGTATTTATTTATAAGCCAAGAAAAATGAGGATTATACCAGGCACTGACCTGAGCACCTGCAGCAGCGTATGTATAAAGTCCCCCTGGCCGAGCAGGAGATACCTCCTGAGGGCACGCAAGTGAGTTAGCAGCTGCTGCTCCTGCAACACCTCCTGTAGCACGCGCCCACACGCAGCTCGGTAGGTCAGGTCCATCAGCTGCTGTAGCGCTGGCCGCGATTCTTGCACAAACAGCGACTCAACTGTAATGAAGGGCAAGATGGAGATTAGAGTTATGCCATGACGGGGCATGATAGAGATTAGATTTGTCATGATTTGCAGTTAATGTTCTGCGGCTTAGTCTAATTTATTAAAGCATTTTTAATTTTTAGCTACACTTAATGCTGAATGATTAAACAATAGAAATAATTGAATATATATTCATATGAAATCAAGTAATGAGTAACCAGTTGTGTGTTTGAGAGCCGCAGCAATGGCCTGCTGCTCAGCAAGAGGTGTTTTGAGCTTGCAGACGCTGCGCAGAAAGTTTAAACTCTTGCCCGTAGCCAGAACCTGACGAGCTTCCGCCGCTGACACAAAACTCGGCAACTGACACCATCTGCGTATGTGACCATAAATACACCGAGCTGTCTATGTTATAATCAATGCTAGGTACCATTTACAATGTAGAGAATATCGCGAATAAAAAGGTAAACAATATTGGGCGTCCCTTTTATGGAAAAACTTCAGAATTCTAGGCGAAATGTGGATAAATTTGTGGGGAATTTCACTGGATTAGGACCTTGAACGGGTCTGAACTGAACTGAATCTACAAAATGAAAATTCTCACTGAATTACTGGCCGTATATGATCCGTTTAGCATTAAATAATGTCAACAAATGTTCTTTTTCAATATACATAAACGCCATTTTCTAATCCATAAATTTGCTGGGAAAACTTTTCTTATATTCAACAGGGATATCTTGGAAAAATATACAACAATATCACAAGCAACTCCAAATCAGTCCCCAAGAAAAATATTATTTTAAAATTCAAAATTATTATTTGATAATCAGGCAGAATTTCAAACAATATGATTTGCTACGCATAATAAATGATGATTATTGAAGAAAGAAGCTCACCTGATGGAATACTTGTGGTGCCAGAGATCGTGCAGGGAGGCCGTATGGTCGGCAGCGATGAAGAACTCCTCGTGGGGGTCGGTGAGGGCGCCGTGCACCAGCCACTGGGTGAGCATGGCGTGCAGGGGCGCTGCAGAGCGCGCTAGACAGTGCTGCACCACGCCTTCGGTGCTGGGGGACCCGTGCTGTAGATGCTGCACACCAACATTGTGTTACTTCAATAAACTTTACTAAATTATCCTGAGGCACTGGATAATTTAATTTTTGTACTAAATTATAATAAATCGCTGCACAATTTAATTTTTGTACTCAATTATCATAAATTGCTGGATAATTTAATTTTATATTAAATTATCCTAGATCCGAAATCGCTAGATAATTTAATTTTATATTAAATTATCCTAGATCCAAAATCGCTGGATAATTTAATTTTGTACTCAATTATTCTGAATCCTAATACGCGAATTCCTAAATTATCCTAAATCTGTGTATAAATAAAGGAATCGCGTGTACAACGCCACACTCGTGCTGTAGAGCCCTAGTTTCTTTAACACATTAACACGTTGACTCCGAAGTGGTACATATGCGTACCACGAAATGTATTTCTCCAGGACGTAGTGGTACAGAATTCAGGTTGCCTGAACACGTGAACACGTTGACTCCGAAGTGGTACATATGCGTACCACGAAATGTATTTCTCCAGGACGTAGTGGTACATAATTCAGGTTGCCTAAAATCGGCCAAACGCGAGAACAAAAAAGGCCAAAAAAGGCCGATAACTCAATATATACTAGTTAATTTGTAGGTTCCGCTATAAAAATAGCGGAACCTACAAGCAATCGACTAAGCGACTTTAACACTAATAGCAGAACTAAGAAGCAATCGGAGTCAAAGTGTTAAATTAGGGAACATAGAAAAATTGCAATACCATTGATATGCATAATATAGATCTACAATACGCATTTATTATGAGAAAAATTAACCATATACGGTACCATAATACAATCAAGAGTACAAACTCCAGCAAATTTAGAGTGTAACAACATTGCAGCAAATTATTGCCATCAACTTGCGAAGTCAAAACAGTTTAGTCACAAAATCTTTCCCCAAAAACTTGAACTCGGCCTCAGGTGAAGAACTTCGTGATTTAAGTCAGAATCTTGGTTCGTGAACATAGAAATTTCCGGAAGGACTGCCTTACATTGCAGAAACCTGCATGATAATTGCTCATGGCATTTAATTCGCTACATCCCTATTGATATGCATCAACTCTTCTGCAAAGTACCTGGTAGAGTGCAGAGAGCAAAGCGCCGCCCCGCAGCCCTCTGGCGGAGTGTGAGAGATGCACAAGACTGCGCAGGCGGAGGCGAGGCTCTAGAGTCCAGAGCAGCAGCCGGCGCAGAGTTAGGCCGCCGCCAGAGCTGCTAAGCTCATCTGCAGCTTCTTCATTAACTGCACTCAGCTACAAAACGAGTTAATAGTTGACAGAACACAAGAAAAACTATGACTAAATGGAGATTTTGATCGAGACTCACAGTATGACATGAAATGCTTTATATTGAGACTAATTACGTAAAATAAGTACTGGGTTAAATTGAACAACTTTTCAGGCCTATGAGTGTACTTTAATTAACTAACCTGAGCCTCCAGCACGGCAATAAGTCTGCAATGTTCGTTGAGATGATCTCTGAGCGCCAGCACCAACGCTTGGTTGACGAGTGTGGGTCCAGATATAGAAAGCCCAACACCTGACCTGGGCAAGCGTGACCCAGGAGTTGGGGCGTTGGTGTTGTCAAGAGCTGCTCCGCTGAGCAGTTGACATGTGCTCAGAGCACTGAAACTTGTGCTCTGAGTTAGGCCACCTGGAGTAACGCCAGTGTTCATGATGTTGCCTACAGATGCTGATTTGTTGAGTCCAAAACCTCCTCTGGCGAGTTGGCCGTCACAGAACTTCTGCACTTCACTGTACAGCCACCCGACCTCTGATAGCTTCAGTATTAGATCACGAACTGGTTTTGATATACGAACCTGCAAAAATCTTACAATAATGCACAAATTTTGTTAAACAAAATAAATCGAATGCAAATAAATTGGTTTGCATGGAAAGAATACAGAAAAAAACTCCCACTAAAAATTCACCCATTTCAATATGCATTCCATTTTTAAATAAGTGAGGCACGAGGATCATATACCGTACTGTAACATTCATTTTCATATTTGCCTTTTTGCATATAATTTCCTACAATATTAAAGTCAAAGCACACAATTAAACTGAATTTGAGATGTTACAAAGTCGGATCCAAAGCAGTGAAACTTGAGGAAGATTTTTAGAAAAATGTGCATTAATAATAGCACAAGTGAAGTATTGAAAACTAATCACCGTATTTGAGGTACAGTTCATAAAACGTGGAGAATATACTTGTGATTATGAGCACTTTAATAACATTAACGTCACATTATGCCATATTAATATTATGCTTCAGTTTACAAACTAATATTCAGATTTTTCTTTTGCTCAGCCATTTTATCTGTTCCCATCCTTTCTTGCATCTATTTATTTTTCACTAGCTATTAATCTTATGTGTGACGTGTCCACGAAGTTCGTTTGAACCAGACGCCATGATAAATATTTTGTAGAATAATATTGTTTGTTCATTAAAAATTTGATACATGTCAGTCTACACCTAATTCCCCTAGTGCTGGCACATAAAATGTTTGAGATAAAATTTTAAACACAAAATCATTCCATACATTTGAACCGAATGTGATCGATTCCTGGTACTTTGCCAGTCACGTGAATTGCGTAGCACTCGTGTTGTCAATTCTGGCAGTTCATCTGTAAGAAATCTTTTGGTTTCAACCAAATGAACATGAGTGCAGGGTTTATTCTTCACCTTAGGGTCAATTTTGTAGCCGTCATTGGCCAGGTCATGCTTGATGATCTTCCCTTCTATGCCCTGCAGCACAAACAACACCTCACGCACCAGCACCTCCTCTGTCACTTCCACTTGTGCTGTGGACAATCAAAAGATTAATATCTATACCAGTGGTTCCCAAACTTTTTCAGGCTGGCTCCCCCTATGGCTCCTAGTGAATTTCTAGCGCCCCCCACAGACATACGATTTTCTTGAAATTTAGTACGCTGCAATTTTAAAAATTAAAGGTTAAACACAAATGTGTATTTCACAAATAGAACCCCATTTAGTAAACCAATATGTTTTTCAGCTGTTTTTACTGTTTCAGCACTAGAAGACAAGAACGTCGCGGGCAAATTTACGGCCGGACTTGTGGCCGGTCTCACGACCAATCTCCAAATTCAATTATCAAGAAAATATCTCCCAAACATATGAACGCAGCTCTATGAAACTTGGAACACGTATTCATCAAAACCTAACGATGATGTTTAGCTCGTAATTTTTTTTTTTAATTTCACCTTCATTCGTGAGTTGCGCGTATATTTCGAAACAGGCCGAAATTCGCATTGATCAAAGAATTTCTTCCAAACTATTGAACATATTTGAACGAAATTTTGAATATACATTCCTTACTATCAAGCGGTGATTTTTTACCTTATAAAATTATTTTCGACTTTATTTCGTTTGCGAGTTTTTTTTTTTTCATTTCACCGTCATTCTTGATTTCATACTTCCTTATATTCGGCCCGTATCGCCGGGTAATTTGTCACTTAAATTCGCAGCGATCAAGAAATTTCTTCTAAACTAAACAACAGATTTCAACGAAACTTTGTATATAAATACATAACCTCTCAACAGTGATGTTTAGCTCGTGACAATTTTTCCATTTTGCTTTCGTGTGCGAGTTATACAGATATAGTAGGAACGGCCGGCTTTTCTACCGGTAGATCGATGGCTTCTATAAATCAAAATTAGTATACGTATAGCCGTATAACTCGCAAAGGAAGGCAAAAAAATGTAAAAAAAATGTTGCTGAGGTCAGGTATTTAAATACTAAGTTTCGTTCAAATCTGTTCAGTAGCTTGGAAAAAGTTTCTTGATTACTGCGAATTTAAGTACGAATTGCTGTTTAAATCACGAATGAAGGTGAAATAAAAAAAAAACTCGCGAACGAAGGCACAATCGCAAAAATTTTCACGAGCTAAACATTACCTTTTGGTAGTCAGGACTGTAAATTCAAAATTTCGTTCGAATCTGCTCAGTAGTTTGGAAGAAATTACTAGATCACTGTGAATTTCGGCCCGTATTGCCATATAACTATGGCAAAAACAAACGATGGCAAAATTCACATTACCGTTAGGTCCTAATGAATACGTGCACGAAGTTTCATCGAGTTAAGTTCATTAGTTTGAGAGAAATTCCTTGATCATTGAATTTGAAAATTGGCCGTGAGACCGGTCTCGAGTCCGGCCGTTAATTTGTCCGAGACGTAAACCCAGGAGAGCTAGGTAAAAAAAAAAAAAACAGAAAAAACCATCGCTGCGAGTCTGTGCGGCACGTGTTGTGTACAAATCGTCAAACAAACGTTCGAACTTCTGACACTGACTTCGGACTACCGCCCCCTACCGCCCTCTTCTTCCTTATCGCCCCCAAAATCTTTCCACCGCCCCTAGGGGGGCGATATCGTCCACTTTGGGAACCACTGATCTATACAATATAAATGAAGAATATTTATAGCAAATATTTATAGTGAAGCAAAATATTGAAAATTGTTGTTCAACGGAATTCATATCCATAAAGAACCCAAGTTACACTATTAACGTCTTGATTTCACTAATGAATGCACTTGAGACGACAAAAACCACATTTCATGTCAAAAAATGCACCACTGGGATATGAAATTTCAGGGAATAAACATAAAAGCAAGGAACATGAATAATTATATAGTCTTGCCTGCTAACTGGCGCGAGACCTGAGGCTGCTGGGTGATAAGCCGCTCACCTCCACCAGGAGGCCTTACAGATCCACTTGTCGATCTATGTTCTGCAGCACCTTTGTGGAAGTGATCAATGTTATAAGTAAGCATACATGGGCATAATATTGTAGCTGCAATGTAACACATGCTCGTAATATTGTAGCTCTTACTGTTGTTAGCACAATAAAGGTTGCACAAAAAAAATTGTCACTCCAATACAATAAAAACACATAATACCCCCGCGCTCGTACTGCAATAACCGTCCCAATCCGCACACAGAGTGCGAGAAGTAGGTACAACACCTTCACGGAACTTGCGTGTCAGCTGAACAGTAAGCAGTTGTTATAAGTAAGCATAAGTTCAGGATAGCAACTGAAGTATGAATTTTTGTCTCAAATGACAGAGAATATGACAAAGATGTACAAAAAAATCATAATGTCCAGGCTAATAAGCCTAGACAAAATTAAAATTAGTCACAAGATATTCCTAATTTCTATTAAAAGAATACAGCAGGGGAAGAAAATAATTCGGTCTCATGGAACGCAGTGTTGCATAACTTCATCAGCATGGAACACTTATAAAAGAATTCATTGTATCACACCAAAGCAAGTGTCGTCATAAGCAAGGCATGGTCTAACACAAGTCTTGACAAAGCATTCAAAATAATTATAATAATGCAAATAAGCGACACCTCTGTAGTATGTGGTGAGTTTAGCAGCGCGTGAAGGTATCCAGTTTGCTGATCCACTGCCTCGACCATCACTATCAGCCTCTGAGGCAGGGATGCTTGGCCCACTGCCTGATCTGCTCGAACTGGGCACAAAAAATTACTTAAACACAATAAAATAATTAACAATACAGGCAGTAAAATCTATGGTGACAATTTATTTAGCAGTTTTGTAAAACCACAGATAGTTAATTAATAAAGTTAACAGGAGTGATAAAATATTAACCCAAGAATATTTGAGACTAAAAGTTTACAACGCCAGAGTTAAATCATTGGAAATATTTGGAGCTGGAACCTATAAATGAGTACATAATCTGAACAAAGTGTATTTTGCTCACCTTCTTGGTGGGCTTGACTAATACTGACATATTTGTTCAATTTTAATATATTACAAATTTTCCTAGCAGTAAATGTTTCAAAAAGCAAACAACAAACCCAGTGGTGGTGCGAGATGAGCCTCGACTGCCTGGATCAGTGCTACCGAGGTACAGAGGAGGTAGTGTAAAAAACTCTCCACCGTCACTCAGGCCATTACCCTGTGCACATGTTACTATTTAATTTCTTAAGTTCAAACAAATAGGTAAATCAAAACTTATATTGATTCCTGCTTTATAAAGGCTTGTGTATCAACAGAATCATTCTGGATATGTAGTAGATAATGGTACCTCTACATAAAATTTTAAACATCATATCTTAAAAAAAAATCTTATCAAGATCTGACTAGAAATGTTCAATGTTATGTGTATATCAATTGGAATTATACTGATAGTATCAATTATAGATTTATAAATAAGATAGTAAAAGGCAAATTTAAGTCAAATTTATAAGGAAGTTATATCATAAGCAAGGCCATGTAAATTACCAGCGCATGACTGGGATGAGGCTGCTGATGTTCAGACTCTTGCCCTAGCAGCAGCAGGAGAGTCAGGATACTTGCCTTGTTCTTCAGTACAGACTGCAAAATAAAATTATTGAGGTGGACAAAATTTGAGCGAGCTAGGCTGGCCTTATTTGAAAAAAAGGATGAAAATTTAATGTAAAACTAATACTGAATTTACAATCTGTAATAGAAATTTTCTACAAGTGCTTCTCAGCCAATCGAGTACACACAAATGAATTGGCAATTTGAAATTTCTAAAAACAAAAAACTGATATAAAAACCTGATTTTGGAGTTCAGAATTTACCAATATACTTGCTTACAAATTAACAGAAGTAAATAAATATTGCATTGCTTCTTTTGATACAATGCTTTCATTACTTATAAAGCAATAGAGCCAAAAATATGGAGAAGGAATAGAAATTTGAAATTAAACAATTATATACTACCTATAATCTACTTATTTTCAAGCAATTTATAGCAGTCAAACTTACACTGTTCATGACATTGTTGAGGAGCTGTGAAAACTGGACTGCATGCTGCAGCCTATCATGCCTGATGAGCCATTTCTTGACGCGTTCACCAACAGCTCTTGCCTCATCAGAGCTCCTTCCACCAGAAGCACTGCTGCCAATCCACAGACCACTGCGCAGAACTCCCACACTCACTCTGTACTGCTCACTTAGAGTTGCCTCTGAACATAGAAAATAGAATATTAGAACACAAAATATAATTAAAACAAATAATCAAATTTCATGCTTTTTTGTTACTGTGTACTAATCTCTGTAGTGTACAGAAAGGTCAGAAACAGTGGTGGTGTGTAAGAAATTAGAAATTATGAGTAAAAAATGTGATTCAGTATCTGCTCTCTAAATGCTGCTCACATCAATTGTCATCTAATTTGAAAAAAATCTGTAATGAAATATCTGATATTGAATTTCAAAATATAAGAATTTTATTGTTCTTCAAGAGGTTCAGCTCATGTCAAGTTCTTTTTAGTGTGAACAAGAGCAAGAGTAATCATTGAAATGTCTAATATAAGAGAGCAATGAAGGAGGGTATGAAATATCTCATGAGTGATAGGACTTATGCTGTTGACTGGATTAAATTTGACTTTGAAAATTGGAGTAAAACCAGGAAAATTTGGTGAAACAATTATTTATTATCACAAGATATTCTCCAACATATTGCCAATTTTTAAACAAAAAGTTAGCTTAGTAACAAAATGTCAGGCTGGTAAACAAGAATTTTGGTATTTTGAATCTATCTGGATTGATCCTTTCCAGGGTTGGCAATGATTAAATCAAAATGATTAAATCATGTGATTAAATCACTTGATTTTTTTATAAAAAAATCGTGATTTTTTTTATTTTTTTGATTTTTTCATATATTTAAATATATTGAGTGGCAGTCTTCAATTTATATTGAGGTATTGTTATTCATGGTTTAGTATAAATGTACTATAAATGACAAATTGGTATATAAACCTGTTGCCTTTAGTGTGTATTAGGTTCCAATAAATTGAATGTTTTTGGTACAGAGGCATCAAGTGTGCAATACATTGTACATAGCTAGCAGCTTAGCTAATTCTTATAAGGCTATAAGTAGTCTTTAATTTTTGACTATTTGTTATATATTGATTACAATATACAATTTAAATGTGTTAGCTAGCTTATACAGGGTGGGGCAGAACTGATTGAACAGTTTTGGGGCAAAATAAAAGAGTAATGGAGGTACATAAAGAAGAAAGTTTATTTTCCTCAAGATTAGCATAACATACCATTTAAAATACTTATTTTTTGTAAACAATATCAGGAAAATGGGGTTTGTTAGCTGCATCACACTGTTGGAGTTGTTCTCGGAAGTTTTCTACAGCACGTTCACACATATGGCGAGGTATGGCCATAACCTCTGCTGCAATAATCTGTTCCCTTAGCTGTGGTAGGGTGTGAGGGCGACTTCTGAACTTCTCTTTTAGATGTCCCCAAAGAAAGAAATCGCAAATGCTTAAATTAGGTGACTTCACAGGCCAGTGTAAATCACCCCTCAGAGACACCAGACCTCTGGAAAACATGTGTTTCAAAACATTGGGTGACATTCGGGCTGTGTGAGCTGTAGCCCCATCCTGCTGGAACCACACGTCTCGCAATGCTTCATTTTCAACAATGTTTTCCATCATGAGCTGCAAGAAATTTTGCAACATTGCAGCATAGCGATCGGAATTCACTATCATGGTTACTCCCACCTCTGAAAATGACTCCAACAGTGTGTTGCAGCTAATAGCTCCATCTTCCATATATTGTTTTCAAAACATAAGTATTCTAAGTGGTATGTTATGCTAACTTTTAGGAGAATAAACTTTCTTCTTTATGTACCTCCATTACTCTTTTATTTTACCTCAAAACTGCTCAATCGGTTCTCCCCCACCCTGTATATTGAGAAATTGAGATTGTATTGACCTTTTAGGCAATTAGAAAGATTTTCCACCCTAATACAAGTATTCTAATTAAAATATTTAATTTCAATCTTTAAATATGTGAATTTAAAACTAGAAACAAAACAATTACAATTATAAGAAACTGTGCTATCAGCTACCTGTCTGTTATGTGACTCTTCAATGTTTAGAAGATCTGCATTCCTGAAGTGTTTTTGTATATTGAAGCCAGTTAAATGGTCAATATTTAGCTTATTACCTTGCTCCATACAAACTTTACAAAGCTAATGAATAGACATAGTACCAATAATTGTTTACCCAAAAATCCCTAAGTGGTAAACACCACCTTGGCCTGTTGGCCATTATTGAAGGCAATAAGTGCCCTTTTTAGCCATCCATTATGATCCATATACTGTTATTGTTGGTATGCTAATTGCAACATAAAAAATAACACTTCAAAAAGACAAAAAAGTTTAAAAAATAAAAAAAATAAAATAAATAAATAAAAATCGTGAAAAAATCAAAAAAATCATTGATTTTTTTTTTGATTTTTTAAAAAAAATCAAAAAAATCGCCAACCCTGATCCTTTCTATTTGCTAATAAAAGCTTCATTATGAGCCATAAAATGAGATCTTTTTGAACATGTGTAAATGGGATATTTATATTTTAGCATCATGTATGATTTTTCAATCTTTCAAGTTGCATGCTGATGGTCCTCAGACATACCGTATCAGACATGCATGGCACTGAATATATCTACATACATTCCAAGTCCAACATGCAACTGAGCTTTGTCCCCATTTAGCAATTTGCAAAACTGCAAGATTACCACACGATGAAGTATTTCCGTCTCATTACTAACTGAAGCGTATAATTCCATTATGGAATATCAGCTAGTAGTCACCCGTGAATGAGACAAAAATGTCTGTGCTTACTTATGCCTTACCATCAATTTCACCTTTTTTTATAGACCTGCAGTGGTTTTATCAAAACATTGGCGTGGGAAGCTACGTAACGTAACTGTATGCCTGCTCAGAGATGTCGTAAGTGGAGTTCCGCACAAGTTTAGAGTGTCTGCTGAAGCAATAGGAAACTATTGATTTAACTAGCAAGTAGGTGCTTTTGGGATAAAAATGGTGCTTTTGGGATAAAAATGTCAATTGCCTTTTGTGCTATAATTTACAAGCAAATGTTGATATTCACACCCAAGAGTTTTATGATCATTCACTTGAATAATATCTTAATGCCTTTTTGATTCAAAATTATATTGAGGTTGACAAGTCAACCATTTTTCTAGTTATATGGCAACAGTTTGTGAGGTTTCATCATTGCTGGCGCCGTGGCGCGTAGTGTGGTGTTTTGAGAGTGACGTCCCTAAAGCAATCAGAACTCGAGTTGCGCATACGGTGATTTTTTTATAGCCATTGCCCATTTGTTTCTTGCTACGTCCTCAAAGTGTCGCAATATGGTGTGTTTACCCTACATTGGATACCATTTTGTTCCAATAATATTATATAACACAACTACAACAGAAACAAATGGCACAAGAAAAAATCATAAACGTTGGTCCAAGTCACCCTGGCGCATAGTGGCAAACCAGAGCTTTTTTGGAATCGGTTCATTTTTAATTTTCCCAAAACTCAAGATTTAAACCAATTTCTCAAGTATGATAATGCTGGTATCCATGATACTTTACTGGTCTACTTATAGGACTCAAAAATGAACTTGAGGGAGTCTAAAAAACTCTCTGCTTTGTCACTATGCCCTGGCGGCCAAAGTCACCCCAGTTGACAGTAAATCTTTTAACAAAAATAAGCAGAAAATTGGCACAATTTTGCCTATGACTTTATAAGAATGACCATAACAAATTTTCACTTTCAATTTTCAAAACATTCTGCCAATCTGCTTGATAGTTATTTCTGATTGGCACTTTGGCAGATTGTATGCAATCAAGGGGCAGATATATAAAAATTTCAAAAATATTACACTTGAGTGATAAAATTGTGGTAGCTAAGAACAAACAAGGTAAAATGTTCCAATCTTGAATTATATATATATGATAACTAGAAATCTTCAATTAATAAAAAAATGTACAAGTTTCAAATCACAAGCAAACTGCATACCTATGAAAACTAAATGTAGGCTATAGGCTATAGCTAACCATCATTTCAGTTGTTACTTGTAATTGCAAGAAATGTGAATATCAGAAAATTTTAGACAATTTAAAAGTAAATTTATCAAAACATACCTAGTTGAAAGTTGAAACACTTGCTAGTGGCAAAGCAGAGAGTTTTTTAGACTCTCCCTCAAGTTCACTTTTGAGTCCTATAAGTAGACCAATAAAGTATCCTGGATACCACTCTACCAGCATTATCATACATAAGAAATTGGTTTAATTCTTGAGTAAATGAGGAAATTAAAAATTAACTGATTCTAAAAAAGCTCTGGTTTGCCACTATGCTGAGTTGCTACAGTATAAATAACAAATAGAAGAAATAACACAGATACAATTTCACTTGTCACAACCTCGTCTAGCTCTAGCATTGGCAGACTTCAAAATAATTTATATCAAAAACCCATAAAAAAAACAGTTGCATGTGATATCGGTGCTAAAGAAAATAAAGTTGCATCTTACCATCGGTTATGCCAGTAACATGAGAACATAATCTCTTAAGTATTCCAAGTGGTTCTTCCATAGCTGTTGAAGATTTTTAGGCCCTAATAGCACCATAGGGGGGTTTTCTTTGCAACACTAAATCACTCGCACAGCTGATCGTGGCGCCAACATTTGTTTATAATATTTCGAAAACGCTGCTATGATTGGTCAGTTGATGATGGACCCCACAATCATGGAACCAATGGAATCGACGCTCCATCAATTCTTCTTTAGAGAAAACTCACAAATGATAAACTGCAAAATTTCCAGAAATTTTTGAATAAATTGGGTAATGTATTTGTCAGTTCTTTCTTTATGTAACAAATTAAGTTTTTTCGATTTTATCACTGTTTCCATTGCTGAATTACCCTAACTCCATTTATGGCTCATAATGGCTGACAATGTCAATGGATTTTCAAACGTTTGCGTGTCACGCTCATCACACGCATTTGAAGCTTACGTAAGATCAGGATCAAATAATAAGACTACGAAATCGTCTTTAAATTATTTGGAGTCATCGACATCGATGGATGGCGTTGATAAACGGCCGTCTGTACGGAAAGTTGCTGCAGAGTGCTGCGACCGCTACGGGCTAGCGTCAGCGACTCTGCTCAGCTCAGCTGTGTGGTTCTTTCAGTACTCTTACAGTCATGGGAAGGTTAACGTGTGTGGCTCTTATCGTTTCTGTGTATTGCGTTTTTTCTGGAGCTTTTAGCCCAGAACTTACTCAAAATGTAAATCAGTGGATTTCTCATCGGGTGAGTTAAACCTTCAGACAGGTGTAGAATATGCCTTGGCATATAAATTTCTATCATAGAATAGTAGAAAGCGCACAGATACATGAAATAGCCTGTGACTGTGAGAATTTGGTCAGCGTCAGAAGTTATGATATTGATAAAAATTGCCGTAAAATTTCTTCCTGGCCTAAATGATTCCGATGAATAACGTAAATGATGAGCCAAAGATCACATCACTAGTAACGTTTATGATTCTAATTATTTATTGGTGCTTGAATAACGGAATTCTAATCTGTTGATTACTTTATGATACCTAGTTGAATTACTTTCGTATTGTCAAGTCATGTGCATTGAAACTTGCTATTAATCTTTAATGAACATTCTTCATACGTTATATTTAATATTATGTAGGTTAACAGAAAAAAGAACCTAATTTCTGTTAACGTGTTTGAAATTAGATTACGTGAAACACGATGGTTTTTCCTACTCAATTGAGAAGTCATGGACTCGTGTCTCATGGTCACGTTTGAGGTAACTGCTACTAGCTTTAACTACCGTAGTAGTAGTCAAACTACTACTAGCTTTAAGTTAGTGAATTTCAATCTTTGGGTACAGACGTTCAAAAGAATATGCGAATCAATATCCAGGCCTCTTGTATAGCAGCAAAAGCAAGTTTATGCTTCGCATTTGTTTGATTTTTGAATTTTTTTAATGACTACTACTACTAGAGAGGGGAATGGTGATTCTTCAATTCAATTATTCATCCCTTAGCCTGGGCTTAGAACTGTGTAACTAATTTCTTCCTAGCTGTTGAAAATTTTTTAGTGTTATCTCCACTACCATAGAATTGATTCTTACTGCCAGTCATGAAAAAATATATCGTGTACGGTATATTACCATTAAAAGTACCGCCTAAGGTAACATACGTCATTGTGTATGAAGTAAATTTTACACACTCTTAGATAGTTCGATAGAATCAAGCAAACATATCGCAAATATGCTACCGGAGGCAAGTTTTTTCGATCATTCTGTTGCAGTGGCCGATGCAAAGCGCGTGCGTAAGTCGGTATGGCGTAGCCGTAGCCTCAAGGACGTATGTCTGGACTTGTGCCTGTGCAAGAGTTGGCAACCGTAAAAATTGCTTCAACGGTTCAAACTATAGAAAAATTCATGCCACCAAATAAATATTAATCATATTCATTGTCCAACGCAGCTAATACTGAGAACGTAGGTAATATATATAACGTAGCTAATTTTTGCTGTTTCGAAGTTTTGATTAGTTTGAATTGAATATTTCCTGTGTGAAGTTGAATGAGCTAGTATCTCGATCGCGATAAAATGTGTGGGGACTCGTTTACATTGTGACCCTGTCTTCCGGGTGCGGTGAAGACTTAGAACCTTTATTGTATTAAAAGTTCAACAGTAAAATTATTGTAAAACATATATTTTACTGGTGCTCAAAACGGGCAAAAAACACTTTTAAAAAATGAAGTCAGTCCGCATGAAAAGGAGCTAATAAAGAATGGCCTGAGACTAGAGCGACAAGAAACCAAGAAATACCCTTTTTTATTTGAGTATGTAGCCGGTCTTACGTCATTTCCGCAAGCAAGTCGTATCTTCATCATTGTTTTTAAGGCGGCATCATTGGAAAAGATTCCTCGCTAACATATATTGAGGAAAACTCAATGAATAGCTACTTTTTATTGGCACGGAAACGTAGGTAGCATTGTTGCTCTGTGTAGAGTTTTTGTTGAACCTGGTTGCTGTTGTAGTAAAAAATGGGGGGCCACCCCCGGGTTTTACCCCGCGTCTTTCGCGTATTGATACTTGTATCTTACAACTTTATACTCACAACCCAGGAAATCGCGGAATGGGGGGTAAAATGTTACTTTTTCGGTCATAACTCGGCAACGCCTGACTCATCCACGTGCATGCAATCGCTTGCTTCAGTCCCGCGGTTATGGCAATGCCTAAAATTTAAGGTACGTCTTCGATCTCACTGCAATGTCGGGGAAAATCTTCGTAATTTCCGTCCCCTGTTCATCGTTTCGATAACGGTTATAGAATAGATGACATAGACTATACTTCTTTCTATCTTTTAAAATACAAGGTTGAGAGCAGCGAATAATTCAGCCATCTAGATAAAAAAATTGTAATTTCAGTGTTCAGGTTCGGCAAATAAAGAATTTAATCAATGACCATGTCACTGATTGGTGTGAAGGTAAATTATGTTGTAAATTACAATAATTATGGTTATGGTAAATTAATGTTATGTCATTATAATGTTATTGCCTGAGAATTTCACTAGCGACCGAAATAACTAAAACTAGCGAAATAACTAACACTAGCGACCATCGGAACCACCCGTCGAGTTTGGTGTGCAGCTATAGACCCTCGCCGAACCCCCGACCCCAAATCGCCGAACCCCTGAGCCCAAATCACCGAACCCCTGCAGCCCAAATCACCGAACCCCTGGCTCGATCGCACTCATGTTATATGAACCACCGAGCCAGCGTCATAGTGACTCTAGCTCATGTCAATAGACGTCTTTTCTATTGCTCAGCGACTGTTATCAATTTCTGTTGGCTGTTTGTGCCGTTATCAATACCGACGACATTGCTTGACCTCGTTGTATGGCGGCAAACCATTGGAAGATCGCTTATTGTTATTGCTGATGCCGTTATTGTTTCTTCAGTACGGAAATGTGATGAGCTTATTTATATCAATCACATTGCAATCTGAACTGTGGAATTGGTCTCATTGGTTAAAATTGGTTTGTGTTTGAGTCCAAGTTGACTTTACCATATTACATACCGGTAGTAGTTAGTATGTTTTGCATGTTGTTGTTGTATATTTGTTCGAAGTAGTTGATATCTTCTGGTGTGTTAATTATGCTCTAACAACTAAATTTTACTCTAAACGGAACAATTTTTCCCGCTCATATGTGCTTAAGCCCTAATAACATCCAATTTTCCATTTCAATGGTATAAGCTGCCACGCATATGGTGTGCAATTTCCTGTACCGAAATAATCACGATATTGTATATCCTGGGCGAGACGAAAACACGCAATAAACGTTACTCGTCTATATTTGTGTGGAACAAGCATGTGCTGGCGAGATAAGAGAGCTATGTCGGCTACACGTAAGAGGTTTCATCTCATGCTTGTGTACGAATGAACCTTCGTTCACTGATGGTAATGTTGCCTGAGAATTTCATGCCATCGTGCTAAAATTATACTGACTAATAAAATCTACTAAAGCATGGACTATCGAAATACCCTTTAGTATTTCGATAGGTGCAATACCTTTGGATATTAATAATAGTAATAATAGTAATAATTATAAAATTCCACTGCGAGTCGCATCTTGTGAACTGTAGTCGCGATCGCAATGTTTCGCGGCACAGCTTCCCACAGTCTGACGCTATAGGAATTTGCTCGGGTTTGGAATTTATTTAACTGAAGGTGTTACACCTGCCCGTCAAGAAATAACTTACACTTCTATGACACTTCTTTAGTGTCATTAATTTAGTGTCGCTTAGCTGCACATGTGCCGAGTTGTGTGGTGGTAACACCTGCGCGTAGGTCTAAACCGAGCGTTTGCCTACTATATACTTTGCTTGGTGTGGTGGAGTTTAATCAATCATATATGAGCATCACCATGGTACTCTTACTACGAAAGTGAAATAAGCAAATAGGTTATCTATTACTTACTAAAATCACATTCTGACTCTTTATAAGAATCAACTCATTAGCAGTATACTGTATGCATATGTAGGTGCCCATTATAGTGCTATATTGAGCAATGCTTGGTTGCAAGTGACGACTGAAGGAACTGGCTTTCGATACGTCAGTAATACGGTGTCCTGCAGCCTTTTAACACGAAAAGATTCTGTAGTTAAAATGATGTTTAGATTTGAAATCTCATTAGGAGCGGTGAGATTATCAGAATAAACCATCCCTATCTTCATTGAATTTCGGCTCCCGTGCGTTTTTTGTCCATTTTTCCTTTGTAGAAACGATTTTTTCGATTTCATCCAAGTTCAGACTGACATAAGTTATTCTAGTTTCGGTCCGTCTGAATAGGTACGCATTGAGTCAGTGATAGAAGAATATTTTGGCACACTGCACGTGAAAAATGTACTTCGCATATTTCGTAAATGCCTGCTCAGTTTCATCTATTCAATCTATTGTAGGAGAAACGCGCTGACTGCAACTCGCAGCGTTCGGTTCCGTTTCAAAATAACGTCCATGTCCTGAATGTTGAATAGACTGGACACTCTAGAAGTTCAATGCCATTGATGCATCAGTTTTTCAGCTAGAGGAAGTTTTCATTCATTTACATATGTAGGCTTTTGTGCTACTTTGCTTAGCCTTGCTACGACCAATTCAACAATGCCACGCACTAGTAAGATAAATGCTTTACGGATGATGACTTGCCCATATTGATCAGGATGTTGCACCAAACACGAATAGTATTCATACAGTTTAAATTGTTAGTATTCAAACTAAATTTAAAAATCATTTTAGTTCCAAGTATCATTTAGTTTAATATCGAATGCCAAACCCTATGAGAGTGATTATGATGTTTGTATACCTGCCACTCCTGCAACGAGTGTAGTCAGATTTGTAGCGTCGACAAAAACTGGCTCGTCTAGTGGTGCCTATATATATAGCTGCAGTCGATCGAATTTAACGAGCTCTCGTTGCCTCTCCCTATATTGATCATCGGGCAAAATCTGCTTATCACTTCTTCAGTTATCTCATAAATGTTCAAATATGTAAATTTCGATGAAATTCCAGTGCAATGTTGTTTTTAGCGCATTTTCTCATGTATGGAAAAAAAGCCCTATTGTGCTCGTCATGTCCGTCTGTCTGTCCGTCTGGCCGTCCGTCTGTCTGTGACTTCACGTTTTCGTCGACGAGAAAATGCGCTCTCTGTCACTCACTGCAGTGAGTACTGAGTTATATTTTTCTACCGTGTTTCTTCTAATGCTCGAGCAGAAGAAGCACGCTGGCTCAGGCTTGACAGACGAGGAGCTGCAGAAGCTGGTCGCTATGGGAGACGAGCAACACTTCCAGCAGGTGCTGCAGCCTATCCTCGTGCCCAGGGTGCCTGACACCCCCTCGCACGCCGTCGTCAGGAAGGTGAGCTGACTGAGCTCATTTTTACCTTCTATATCACATTTCGAAAAAACTGTGGAAAAATGGCCGGACCGGCGTTTAGGTGGCCGGCGGTCTCGTGAAATTCGCCCATGATGGTTCAGGCATCAGATTTTGACTTTAAAAAGAGGCGACTAGATTTTTTCCTCGTTTTTCTGGTCCGATTGTTTGTTTATAATTTTTCGGACAATGCATCAAGCCAATTAGATAATTAAAGCATTTATTTTGTCCTCACCCTTGCATCCGCCGTAATCACCGAAGGTACCTATGTCCTATGTGGTTTAATTTTATGTATTCAAAAATCACGAACATTTGTAAGGTCGTATGCTGTACGTGTTTCATGTCTCTCTATATTATTATCAGAGAAAACATTGTCTACAATGGTAGAGTGTTTATTTGCTACTTAATTCTTCCGAAAAGAAAATTCAATTTTTAACGTCAAATATATGAATTATTCATAATTCCGTCTGCAACACCGGTAGATTTTAGTCGCACCGACGTGGACCAATTTCAAAGATGGTATCGTACTCCACTTTGGGGTAATCCATTGAGAAATTGTGAACGTGCTGGACTATGAGTATTTACCTATTGGACAGAGAGTTTTTTTGTATGCATATTTCCCTAATCCACGTGGCGTCTCGGCAGTACCAAAAACAAGTGTCATCATAATTTGAGAAGGGTAGTTTCAGGGCAGCGACAGAGATTTTATTAGTAATTCTGCACAAAGTATACCTCATTGCAACGACCAAAATGCTGCGAGATCTGGAGACAGGAATCGGTGACAAGCCAAATATTATATTGTAATCTAAACTTGAACTCTAATTTATTATATTATGTTATCTTTTTAGCGCGTTTTCTCATATATGGAAAAAAATGCATTATTTTGCTCGCCATGTCCGTCTGTCCGTTCGTTTGTCCGTCCGTGACTTCGTTTTCGTCGACGAGAAAATGCACTCTGTGTCACTCACTGCAGTGAGTACTGAGTTATATTTTTTTAAATTACAGTTTACGCCACTGGGACAGGTTGGTCTGTGCAAAAATTTTCACTATTTCAAAGAAGCACTTATATGAATGATTTCGTTTATCGGTGGTCTATTGCAATAGTTCATTGTTACTCCATTACCAACACCAGCGCTGTCAGAAGGTCATTGGGAACAAGTTCTGACGCACCTCAGTCCTGCGTAGAGACTATGCGTTGAACTCTCAGTTCAACGCCCGTCTGTTCACTCGTCCATTTCGCTGTCTGAACTCAAGGGACCTTTGTACTAGAAGCTCGCGATCTTTGCAACGCTTACAGCCACCGAGTGCTGGGGTCAGAACGGGGACCTTGTTACGGGAGAAAACTGAAGAATAGAATAGAAGTGTCGGCACTGAGGAAATAGGCCCATGGCCTGTTGCCGATTCTTGTACCTATTTTTCGTGGCTTGATTCACAAGGGACCCCGCATTTGGAACCCGATCTGACAGATGACACGAATAATACGTATCTCCTTTTAGGTTATTAAAGATTTTATCTTTTCAATTTGTTTCTCCAGTATCTAATATTCATTTTGTATAGTTGTACTTTATTATTCCGTTATTGTTGGGTGAATGGCATATCTGTATGAAGGATGGGTTTTCCTCAGCTCTCGATTACATATAATTGGCAAAAAAAGTAGCTTAGAATTGGACTTGGAATTGGCAAAGAAAAAAAACCGACGCGTGATTAACAGTTGAGCGCAATAACTGGCACTTATTGTAATATGGTTGAATCACGGGGAACCGATTTTATAAATAAGGTTTCCCCACTCCCAACAAAGCGTACAGTTTCTGATTGTCTCAATTTCTTTGCAGCACATCGTAGACACTCTACGTGGCCTGCAGTGGACTGTGGACGAGGCTCAGTTCCAGGACAGAACTCCCATCGCTAACGACGTCACCTTCACTAACATCATCGCGACATTAGACCCTCTAGCCCCTCGACGCCTGGTTCTCGCATGTCACTACGACTCCTTGAAGACCAACTCCGGTCGCTTCGTGGGGGCTACGGACTCAGCGGTGCCCTGCGCACAGCTCCTCAACCTGGCATATGTGCTGCGTGACGCGCTTCAGGCTCACCGTGAACAGGTTAATGGAATATTGGGACTGCAGCAACACGATTGTGCTGGGTCGCTTTACCCAACACAATCGTGTTGGGTAAGGGGCATACGTAATATTTTATTACGTATACCCCTTCCAATTATAAGATCAGAGTAAACTAATTACAGTAATATGAACTATCGCTTATTCTTCTAACACTGCAGATCACATTCATTTGCTTACTGATAACATTGGACCACGAAGTTACACTACAACCAATATATTTCCATACATGTTCTATTTGCTGCGACCAACCGTTCGTCTCCAATCAATTCAAAGCAACGTTGTTAATCGGTAAATTTACTGGAACTGACATGTAAAGTTCTTATGAAGACTTAGTGATACTGACGTGCAGAGCTGGGCAGTGCTACTTTGAAATGTAGCGGGCGGTACCGCTACCGCTACACCCACTAGATTGTAGCGGGCGCTACGCTACTGAAAATGTAGCGGTCGCTACAGGTAGTGCGCTACTGCCCACCTCTGTTGACGTGTTAAGTTGACATAAGAAGGCTTACGTACAACCTCTGACGACCCCAGGGCAACGAAGTAACCCTGCAGCTGCTGTTCTTCGACGGCGAGGAGGCGTTCGTGCGGTGGTCGCGCTCAGACTCTACTTACGGAGCTCGGCAGCTCGCCGCTCAGCTGCAGCAAACGCCATACACCGACACCGGGGCTGCCGGCATCTCTCAGCTACACAGAATTGTGAGTCTTCTTCATTTTTAGCGCATTTTCTCATTTATGAAAAATGCACTATTGGCGTCGCCATGCCCGTCTGTCTGTCCGTCTGTGACTTCACGTTTTCGTCGACGAGAAGATGCGCTCTATATCACTCACTGCAGTGAGTACTGAGCTATATTTTTTTATTCTTGAACCATCAGCTCATTTATGTATCTTACTGTCTCAGTACAGTGCAGCCAAGGATTTAATTCATCGGTTACAAAATGTTCTGAGACTTGAATTTGTTTTTCAGTGCTGGTACTGCGTTCTCACTATACCATGGCTTACTTCCAGGACCTTTTCGTGCTCCTCGACCTGTTGGGGGTGAAGAACCCGAAGTTCTACAACTACTTCAGCGCCTCAGAGCCCTGGTACGCTAGACTCGTGTCCTTTGAGAGACGACTTAAGGCGCTGGGGCTCTACCAGGGCTTGCGGGACATGTTCCTGCAGGAGGACTGGTTCAACCCTGGCATTGAGGACGACCATATCCCCTTCCTAGAGCGTGGTGAGTGATGAGGGCGACCATATCCCCTTCCTGGAGCGTGGTGAGTGATGAGGGCGACCATATCCCCTTCCTGGAGCGTGGTGAGTGATGAGGGCGACCATATCCCCTTCCTGGAGCGTGGTGAGTGATGAGGGCGACCATATCCCTTCCTGGAGCGTGGTGAGTGATGAGGGCGACCATATCCCCTTCCTGGAGCGTGGTGAGTGATGAGGGCGACCATATCCCCTTCCTGGAGCGTGGTGCGTGTTTAGATCAACCAAAAAACTAAACCATTATCTCAAACTGTTGTATTAAAGTATTAAACTGTACCTTAAGTTAGAGATCGCTCTCCAGAATTGTTCACTTACTATCTCTGTACCCAGGAGTCCCCATCCTGCACTTGATCCCGTACCCGTTCCCGGCGGCCTGGCACAAGGACGGCGACAACGCGGCCAGCTTAGACGCCCCTACCATAGCCCTGCAGAACTCTCTCTTCCGCGCCCTCGTGGTTGACTACCTTCACCTCGTCCTATAGGGAGACGCTCGGAACTCCGCCTCCTCTAATGACCCCGCATATCTTCTCATGAGGGATGATCTTTAATATTTTCTGGATAAAGTAGATTCATTGTTCATGCCTGTGAATGGAGAAATTTTTAGAGCATTTTTATCTATGCTGCGTTCAGTCAAGTGACTGGAGAATTTTTTAGAGCAATTTAGAGAAATTTTGCAGTGCTGAGTCACGGCTTTTGTTTGGTTTTAGTGCGTTATTCATTTCGGTGCTACGAAATTTCTCGCTGAATTATGGTCGTGTTTCTGACGTAGGTGTATTTAATAGCCTAGCTGGTAAACACCCAAATTTCCTATAACAAGCTAAAATAAACTCTGTAATAACGTTAATGTTCATTCATTATAAAGTCATAACGTTAATGTTCATTCATTATAAAGTCACCAATTTGAAATTTTGCCTGTAAATCAATGTAGAACACTTATGTGATGGTTCTCAACGATGCTGCTGGAACATGTGAGGAGTGGACTAATTTATTGTCATAGATTTGGGCGCGAGGCTCTGCTGCTTGCACCCATGTCTGAAGTTCCACATGTCCATGCTTGCTGCAGCCGTTACAATTACAAGAGTTGTAGAATTTTTTAAGTTCGGAAGGTTTATATTATCAGCTCATATCCTGCGAGTATAAAATCCAGTATCTCAGGTTACTTTCTTGTGATTTTAAATCGACAAAATTGATAGAACTATTAACTGTATTCACTGCTGTGAACTCCTTGACTAAAAATGTGTTCGGAAAGTCTAGGCCTAATCGAGTATTTTAAAACGACATAATACATTTAATACACATGGATTTCATTATTTCAATTCTTTTTAACTGAATTTGAAACTTTGTAGTTGACTACATTGACTTTTTAAACGAGCTAAAATGACAGACATTGTAGAGGCGGGGTTCCGAAATATTGCTGGTGGTGGCGACTTGTCATTGTCAAGTCTATAGAGACTTTAATATCTGCTTAACTCGTGTGTGCGTTTAGTGTGTCATTGCGTACTTCAATTGTAATTATAAGTTTTACTTGGTGGAAAAGTTTCACCGGGAAATTTGTATTCTATGAGAGATCGCCAACTTGTCTCTTGATTCGTTTTTTTTTGTACACTTTATTATAAATTTAAAGTTTAATTGCCGTTCAATAATCATCACGATATTAAAAACATGGATCATTGCACTTGTATTTGAGGTAAATATTTTCTTGATAATCATTCTCAGTTTGCACTGCACGGCTGTTGTTTCTCCAGTCGAAGATTCGTTTGCATTCGTACACAAAAAATACGTTTTCGTAGTATAATTCATGAATAACTGTGTTAGTATACATATTCTTACGCGCAACATTCGAATCTATATCAACTTCTTATATTCATGTGATTCATATAATTATTCAAAAATTGTATTCTTTTTTGTTGAACATTTGTTTGATTTATTTTCAATAAGAAATCATTTATTTATCGAAAAGAAAAATCTTGAAACTGGTTTCATACGGAATCGGATTCCAGACGACCGTAATATTTTTATCTATTCTTATTTCATTAACAAGATTAGTTATTTTTCCTTAGTTGACGCTTTGAACACTCAACTCATGGCCTTCAGCTCAACACATAATTTAAGGCAGTAATGGATTCTATGTTTCGTATCATTCCATTATTTACATTTAACATGCAACTCGTACGTGTTATCAGGGCTATTTCATTCACTATAACTAAATAATTCAGGCTGAAGGGAGCCCCTTTTCACTGTGAGTTGGTGTGCCGTGACTTTTTTTTTCTCAGTCGTTCCGTGTGAGAAATTTATTATTTAAAATCTGCAATGAAAATTAACTAGAAATAATTGTTCCAAATTAGTAAGATCTAATCAATATCGGATTTAATAATAGTAAATTATTTTATAACAAGTCAAGCATACGGTGTAACTTATACTTTCACGTTCATTGAAAATCTATATTATTATAGTCGTAATTTGACTTAACAAATGCCGATAATCAGCGGTCATTGCGGCACTGTAAACAAATTCCTTTGCATGTGATATTTAAGTACGTATTACAATATCCGTGTCACACATATGATATATCATTCTTATATATTTGATATTATGCTTCACTTGACCATTTCACTTTATATCATGAATACAAGCGTAACAAGTGAAGTCCTGAGTCTACCCAATCCTGATCATATACCGCCCAGTAATGGCCAGCTTTACCGATCAACTAAACAGACGAGCAACATGTTTTGGGGGGAATACGTTTTTTGGTTATTTTTTTTCCTCATAATTTAGGAAATAATGATCAATTATTTAGATTGGGGGAAAATTATCATATGTAGTTATAATGTTCACTCCAACTGAAAGTTCTAAACGGTCGCAGTCTTAAATAAGTCTAACGCAGAGATGGTAAAGTGCTAACAACTTGATTGCTTGAAGTTAGTAGTACATTATTCAGGGGTTATTTGAGCGAATATTATGGAGGACCGTAAAATTATTATGTTAACAATGGAAGTCAATGTCCAAACCTCCGGATTTCTCAGGACTTTAAAATTATTGTCGGAAAAATTTTTTTTTAGTTTTATTCATGAGCGGTATAAAGTTTACCTATCTCATGCATTTAGGTCGATCAAAGTCATGTACTTCAAATCTTTAGATTTTATTAATGAATGTGGTCAAATTGCAAAATTTCGTCAGTACATCAAATGCATTTTGAAAACCTGCTACCCTATCGACCAACGCCAACGAAAAATGTCGTTTTACTCAACAAAAAAATTTGTCGATACTCGGGTATTTAATCGAATTGAACAACGGAACAAATTTTGTCTTCCTATAATGAATACTATACTATGAATGAATACTATATATTCATACTATACTATACTATACTATACTATACTATATATATACTATATATTCCTATAATGAATGAATACTATAATACTAACATTTTTCGGTTGCGCATCATTTGAATGTGCAAAAAATCATCAGTTATAAATTGAACAATTCATTAATTATAAATATATATAGTCGGTCAACCTCACAGCTGCATGTGAGGCGCAATCCTATTTAAAAATCGGTGGTAAAAATACAAAATTTGTAGGTGTCCAGTTAGAAACATTTTTGAAGCAAAGATCTGGATGATCATGAGTTCCAATTATCCAGTAAGATATGCATTTGATTGATTGCAATTTAGAGTCCATACGGGAACGTCATACAACCGATGGCAACACAAATATATATATTAAAACTTTAGTGTTGCCATGAAATTATCGATTCTTCTTAGAATTCCAGGCCAGAAACAACTGTTTATTTTGAATTATTGATTAGGAGTTCATTGTGCATAGGTATTTATCGACCCGTGATAGTAGTAGTAGTAGCAGTTGTAGTAGTAAATATAGACCTTTTGTTTGATCCAAACTGATGCTCAAACATAAGTCATTATCAAAAATCGCTTTCTAAAAGCTGTTTAAGCATATCTTGCGTCATGAATTACCAGCTAAGCACTCTGTCAACGCAATCCACGGCACATTGAATTGAGATGACAAAACCTGCCGGAACTTAGGCCTACTAAAGGAATAGCCGGATGAATGAAACATTCTAGAATGCTTACCACAGACACAGCATCCATAGACTAGACTCAGTTGATGTTTAGATTTATTATATAAGAGAATAGAATAACAATTTGCTTGTCAAGGGAAAGTTGGGAAGTTATTTTTATATAATTGACTGGCACAGTTCAGTTCTTTCACATAAATTCATGCGGTTTTTTCTAGGACTTGCGCTGTCGCGCAGGCAGAAAGGGCGGATGCACGCATCGTACGATCCCACGATGGCCAACTGCCGCCAAATGAGTTTCAATAGTCTTAGTCAAGCCTCGGCACCGGGCGAGTGAGTGTGTGTGCGTCTCTTTACTCAAACATGCCGGGTGTGATCGGCCCACGAGAAAATTTTGAACCTACACGACCCACTTCGGCGTCATGAACATTGCATAAATACCAATGTTTTACCCTCAGTGAACTCTTCTTTTACTTTTTTTTAAACTGTGTGATAGAAGTGAATGTTTCGCAATTCTAATGTGTGGGCTGAATATTTTCATCTTGACTTCTTAGCTTTACGCTACGCAGGTCAAAGTCAAACTGCTTTGACTTTCTCTATGCAGCTCAATGAGCTCATGAATAGTCGCGTTTGTTTTCGTTGGCATATTACACTACGTTTTATTTTGGTGAACTCGTTGCTTATACCTAACTTGATCTGAAAACAAGCTGAAGGCTCTTGCCAGTTTTACAGTGGAAATCTTAGCGGCAATATAGCCTAAGCTAGGTTGGACGTAGCCTAGGTCCTACTGTCCTAGGAGGCGTTTACCTAGGTAGGCTTAGTGAGAATGCAGTCCTAAATACTGTAAACCTATCTTTGATTTATACCGGTTTTCAATCTTGGTATTATTGCAGATTAACTACATCCAAAAAAAGGGTGTTTTTTTTAATTATATGTTTTTTGGGGTGTAGATTACGAATCTGAAATCCATTTTTGGCGGTCGGCATCGGAAAACCGATTTTTTTCGCGACTTACTAACATGGGGGTTACGTAACTTACGTTACCCACTCACCTTTATTTACTAACATGGGGGTTACGTAACTTACGTTACCCACTCACCTTTATATAAAGGGTCGGATTGTTCATCGAAATTTTACAAAAAGCTCTTAGGTTGGGTTAAGTCAGCCAAGTTCCTTTTTTTAGATAGCATTTTGATCTAAAAGGAACCTGGGCGAACCAACCCAACCTGCGAGTTGGCGTTAGGTTGTGATCTCTCGATGTGGCAATGTATCTCCAGATTTATGGACAAAGAAGACGAAAATGTTACCCGTTGCAGTGCAACGGGTAACATTTTCGTCTTCTTTACCCGTTGCAGTGCAACGGGTAAGTTTCATTCAAGATGTCGTGCGCTACGTGTGATCGGTATTATTGCAAAAAATCGGTTTTCCGATGCCGACCGCCAAAAATGGATTTCAGATTCGTAATCTACACCCCAAAAAACATATAATTAAAAAAAAAACACCCTTTTTTTTGGATGTAGTTAATCTGCAATAATACCTCTAAATTATTTGTTTCTACACATTACTAAAATGATTTTTCTTAGCGATTTGTTTCAATGGCTATTTTTAGCTCATCGTAATTCGTAAGGAATTTCTATGTTATTAACTTGGAACTTGGTTTACATTTACTGACCGGCGTATGTCATCATCAAAGATTGTTCACGAAATTCGCTGATGAAAGATAACGACTAACGAGTTACTGATTTGATTAGGTTACCAAAATAAGCCGGAAATATCCACGTGACTTAATTAACAATTTAACATTACTCCATTCACTGAATAACTAAGATGTAGTAGTCAAATATTTGAATTGTCAATGGTTAAGTCAGGTTAACCAATGAATAACTTAGAATGTGGTCAGTAATAGTAAGGCCTGTAAACGTACGGGTGGTACGGCGAATGATACGGACTCCAGTCCAGTTACCTGAATAAGTTGTTTTCTTTCATGAACTGATGAAGAACAAACCTCTGCCTCAGCTACCTAACTTTTGTGTATAGATTAGTTGTGGTGATGAATATTTAATGCTAATACCGTGATGCTCCTAAAAGGTACACAAGTTACGACTATCCATGAGATGGTATAACGAAGAACCTGTTTCGGCACTATACTGTTCATTAATTTAGTCTGTAATTCTGGGTGGAATAGATCTAACCTCTCCCCGCATGACAATTCGGAGAAATTAATTCGGTATCACCGTATCTGAATGGAGCGTTTGCGCACAATTTAAAATTTCCACCTATTGGTTTTCTAACGTAGGTATGACTAATATTTTATTTGTATCGAGTTCCCGAGGTGCTGCCCAAGCACAAAATCTACGATAGCTGCTTACTTGGTATGCTAGGTACCAAGGAGTTGCTGTTGCCGGCATGTGCGTTGGCTAGGAACCGGTTTTTTAAACCCCCGCTTCACATTTTTTAGTACCGACCTCAAATTCTCTCTATTTATTATTTAAGGGAATGCACTAGATTATGCTTTTTAAAGCGAATTCGTCAGTATCCAGGTCGTTTTCTGCATTGATTAAACTTTGAAAATTGGTATTTTTCGTTTTCAAAGAATAATTTATACATTTTTATTTTTAAAAATGTAATTCGTATTTCGGGAGAATAGAATGACCAATACGTAGGCAAGGCACTTTCTACATTATTATTGCCGTTATGAATATTTTATGTAAGAAAAATATCTTGTGAATAATGCACTAATATCTTGGGGAAAGTGCTCGCTTGGGTTTCAACGATTTGCTGGGTGTGAAAGACTGAGAAATAAATATCAGATAGAGGAGACGGTGAATTACCCCAAACCTTACTAAAATTTTATTGGAATACTAATTTTTGCCTCTTGAATTTA